CTGCAAGCACAAGAATCTCTTCGTTTGGACATGCACTTAAAGAATCTCTTCGTTTGGACAACAAGTCAACATCCAAAAAATCGATGGTAGTTTTAACAAGATATGCGTAATGCATGCACAAGCACGAGAATATCTAGAAAACATTGTCCTGGAGAAGTGGTCTTTACACCACGACGAGCGTACATGTATAGCACCACAACAACGAACATGCATGGCAGAAGTTTTCAACAACGTAATGAAAAGTGCACGATACTTGCCTATAACCGTCTTAGTTGAGTTATCATTCTATCGCGTGAATACATATTTTGTGGAAAGAAGAAAAGCTAGTAAGAGAAGGTTAGCAGGAGAACATCGCTACTACCAGCAAGTGAGTGAATTGATCAAAACAATAAGGAGAAGTCAAAGCATCACAAGGTGAATTTACACTGTCGTCATTGCACATGTCAAAAGTTGAATATTTATAACATTCCTTACTCACATATCTTAGCAGTATGTAGACAACATAGTTTATCCTATGATGCTTTTGCTGATAATTTTTCTCATCAGGAGAGTATGCGATTTCTTATAAAAGAGTATTTAAAACCATACCGGATTTGATGTCATAGTCTCATGGATAATCAGGGCCAGCCACCGAGCATAGGGAATTGTGCCCCTTTTGTTGTTCTCCTTAGCTTTCACATGATTCATTAGCTCTGTCTAGAAGAGCTGGGCCATGTCATACTTTTTGTCGAAGGCAATCCCATGGAAGATTTGGAGGATCTGCTTGTCACATTTATCGTGTCCGGCGTGCTTGGGAGATAAGCATTTGTTGACTAAGCTGAATAGACACTTCCATGGGTGCGGCAGATTGGCTATGCAGAAGTTGGAGAGCAGTGGTAGAGGTGCATCGTAGCCTAGATCCTACATCCCTTGGATCAGCTCTTTGTTGGATGGGAGAGGTTCGTATTTGTCGAGCATCGGCAGCTCTAGAGTTGTCCTTAGTGTAGAGGGTGTCAGCACCACTCGCATGTTGTTCAGCTTCGTCAGAATTTTTGTTCTGTCCTTTTTGGACTCTGTGTGCATGTGATCCCAGAGTTGATGTAGATAGATCTCTGGAACTGGGGTTGCTTTGTGAAATGCAGTCCAGAGATAATGGCCCTTGATGATTGCCGAAATGACAGAGTCTTGGCACTTGAACAGTTTCAGTTCTAGCTGGTAGTTGTTGTCCAGCAACTTGATCCATTTCTTTCTGGGGAACAGTTGTGTGTTCAACTCGTTCTGATTGGTGCCTGACATGATGAACTCAAAAAGTATGGGTTAGCACATTAGTCCTTTTGTTTTTAGTTCTTTTGAGAATTTTATATTTGTTGAAGACTATTTATTGTGAATCAAGTTTGTTGTATGTCTTGTAAAAGCTTAGCCTTTATTATGCCTTTTTGTATTAATACTTTGTATTTATTAAGGTAGTAAAGGATATGGGGTCAAAGTTGTCAGGCCCATGTTGCTGGCATAAAGCCTTTACGCAAACCTATTTTTATCTCCTTGAGAAGGCTGTTAATTAGATTGTGGGCCTTTACGCATATCTCTAACCGGCACTTCTGGATCAATTGCGAACACCAAAAACGGAAGGAAAAGGAAGTACAATTTTGGGCGCAGCGACCGACGTCAGTCATCTAACCAATCGGCGCCATTTGGACCGCTTACTCGCGAAGAACAGCAGAACCGACATCGATTCAGCCTGCAACTGGTGCCGGTTAGATCTAAATCTGCAAAAACACACGACGTGCTGAAATATTTTGATGGGAAAACTTCATCTTCCTTATGATCTGATCAAATGTTACTTCCATACCTGATTGTTAGGTTCGAATAGACTAAAATATGTCATTCTTTAGCCTATATAAAGCCCTCAATTCATCAAACAAGATCATTCCATTCCATACTTTAAATTCTTTGCTCTTATATTTTGTTCTTGCTATTTTTCTTCAAGTTCTTGAGGAGCAAAGTTCATCCTCCAAAATCATTGGTGTCTCAGGTATTATTTCCTTTGTAATTTCATATTCTAGTACGGGGGTGTCCCCAATTGGCGACACCTATATATTGGGGAATTACAAAGGAATGGAATGATAAAATATATAATGTTAATTACAAACGTTTCAAAACTGTAATTGTCTACACAGCGAAAGAGAATAAGACATTTGCACTCCGCACCAATAGCACGCATAAATTCGTCAAATAAAGTTTGTAAATAGCAATAAAATATAAGCAATACAAGTTTGTAAACTTAAAAGTAGAAACTACAAAGAAGTGAAAATTATGAAATAAAAATATGATTTTCTTCTTAAGTTTTAGTAACTCATCCATTGAAAGTGTAATTGTGAGAAAAGTTAAAGTTTAAGTCTTTTTTTATAAAAGTGAAAGTATGGATAGATTTATGAATATGATGACAATTGGGGACATATATAGCTAATAATCCTTAAATTTATTATTAGAGGTAACACGTGTATGACTTGCGTATCAAAGGGATTTTCATATAAAGTTACAAAACTCTGTTAAATCACTACACTGACTTCTGTGTGCTCAAATAAATGTCTATGCATGCACCATGACTTTAGCTACAAAAACTGATATAATTGCGGTAACCGTTAAAAATAAAGGAAAATCGCACATTTGACCTCCCAATTATCCACCATATTGAAATCCCAAACCCGTGTTTCAGGTTTATTAAATGTCACCTCCGAGTTGTCAGAATAATTATAAATGTCACCCCGCCGTTAGAAATAAGGAAAAATAATTAAAATACCCCAAACTTTCAAGGGGTGTGAGATGAACACCCCAAACTTGCATATGTAATTTAAATACTCCAAACTTTATATAAAAAGTTATTTTCTCACCATTGACATGTATTATTTCTTTTAAAAATGTAAATTTATGGGTTTAATTGCATAATTTAAAATAGCAAAGTAAAAGTGTTGCAATTATGTAAATTGGGGGTAACATTATTTATTTCGCAATGAAGGTTTATAATTTAAATCATGTCTTCATGAATTCTAAAATATTTTAAATTATGCAATTAATCCCATAAATTTACATTTTTGAAAGAAATAATATATGACAATGGTGAGAAAATAACTTTTTGTACAAAGTTTGGGATATTTAAATTACATATGCAAGTTTAGAGTGTTTATCTCACACCCCTTCAAAGTTTGGGGTATTTTTATTATTTTTCCCTTAGAAATATTACAAACTCCGTCTATCTTTCATTTTAATCAGGGTTAAACTTGTAACTTCACATCCTTTTCATTTAAAAAGCCCTAATCCGAATACAAATCATACTATACTTCATTCGTTGCTTGGGAAAAAAAACCTCTCCAGCCGTTCTTCCTTCGCCCTGAATCAAAAGCTCTCTTCCTTGATACGTTCTTGAGCCGTTTGGAGTATTGAAGAGCTCTCTTCCTTCTTCCGCTCTTCGTCTTCAGGTGCGTACATATACTTCGTTTTTCTTTATTTATTTTTCAAAAAATCGAACCAGATGTCTGGGGTTGAGTGGGTGTCATGATGTTTGTGGTTTGATTAATTTTGCAGGAGAAATATGTTGATTTAGGGTTGGGGATAATTCGAATTAGGGCTTTAAACGAAAAGGATTGGGAAAGACAATTATAACCCTGGAAAAAATTAAAAACAGACAGAGTTTGTAATATTTCTAACGGTAGGGGTGACATTTATAATTATTCTGACAACTCGGAGGTAACATTTAATAAACCTGAAACACGGTTTTGGGATTTCAATATGATGGATAATTGGGAGGGTCAAATGTGCGATTTTCCCTAAAAATAAATTGATAAGACACAATGCTTGCTGGAAATATTGGAAAGAAGCAATGTCTTTCCAATTTATTTTTCAAAAATTACTGCAATTGTAATATAGTCCATTCACTACAAAAAAACATCCGTTTTGTCACGAATTTTTGTCACGGATTACGGTCGTGACAAATTTGTCACAAACCTTGTCACGGAAAAATGAGATTTGTCACGAATAGGTTTTGTCACGGATACGTCCGTGACAATTCTTTTTCACGGCTTTGTTCCGTGACAAATTTACTATGGTGACCGGCATTTTACTCCGGCCGAAACATATTTTACTCCCGAGCATTTGTCACGAATAGATCCGTGACAAATTCCGTAACAAAATTCAAAAAAAAAAGTTTTTCACTGAAAGATCCGTGACAAAATCCGTGACAAACCTCGATTATTGATATTACAGCGGTAACCTTTAATAATGCGGTACGGAAAAGGATTTGTCACGGATTTATCAGTGACAACTCCGTGACAACGTTTTTTATATATCCCGATGTCGTTCATTAGAGTTGTAGCTAGTACTACAAAAAATCACTCGATTTGTCACAGATGAATCCCAACATTTTTTATATATCCGTGACAAATGAAGTTTTTGTCACGAACACGAGTCCGTGAAACTATTTGTCACGGCCTCTATTCGTGACAAAACACTTCATCGGAACTACACCGGTCTTTATTTGTCACGGCCACAGCCGTGACTAACTTTTTTTATTTTAAAAAATTTAATTATTTGTCACAGAAATATCCGTGACAAAGTTTTTGAAAATTTTCACAAAAGTTTTCGAAATAGGCTGTGCGGATATTTGAAACATGATTTGGAATTCAAATTTTTCATCTTGTCACGGAAATATCTGTGACAACGTTTTCTGAAAATTTTTGAAACAAGCTGTGCGGGTAGTTTGAAATTTTTTTGAAAAATATTCAAAATTTAGATCTTGTCACGGATTCTCTCCGTGACAAACGGTTTTATTTTTTTAAAATTTACGGTATTTTCAGCGATCTTTTAAAATTTAAATTAAAATATTGAATTTAAATTTTGTCACAGAAGGTTTTTACATTTTTTTTAAAAAAAAAAAATTTTTCGGTGCATTTTTTAATTAAAATTTAAAAGTTTATTTAATTGTTTATAATAAACTAAACATTTTTTGCAAACAATCAAATAAGCATTATATAACAAAAATCATTAAAATTCATATAGTAACCATAATTTAATAAACATTAAAATGTCAAATAAACTAATTATTACAAACGGTCATGGCCATCATAATTCATAAATAACCTCATCATCATCATGAGAAGGTTCCTCGCGATGTTCAGGTTGCATGCCATGGCCACGACTGCCGCAATGATAGCTGCCTCGACTGCCACCACGGCTGCCAGCTCGGCTGCAGCCACGGTTTGCTTGGCCTCCGGGAGTCAGGGATGGAGTATCATAATATCCATATGGCAAATTGTTGGAGAGATGGCTGTAATTAACAAAACCTCTACTGCCCATACTACCCACAATGCCCATACCGCCCATGAAGGGAATTTGTGGGATAGTCTCGGGGTGCTGTATGTGCATGGATTGGCAAGAGCTGACGTTGAAAATATGAATTTGGCGTTCCAGCTCTTCTAACCTCTCTAGTTCTTCTTGCCTCTTCATCCCGTATCCGAGCCTCTTCATCCCGCTTTCGAACCTCTACATCACGTTCCTGCAATTGTTTCTTGAGGCGGGTAACCCGGTCATCATACACCGAATGAGAAGATGAGCTAGCTCCTTTGGACTTCTGCAGGATCCGTATACCTTCAGAACCCATAAGCGGCACCCGGCCCTTGTAAACTCCGGTTGCCGCCAAGATGGTCATATCATCTTGACTTTCACCAAGTTCAGCATCCGAGTCACCTAGCTCATTATCTTTCTTCCCCCGCTCTTCCTCATAATTCTTCTACAAATTCAAAATTTTATTATACAAGAGATAAAAAAAATAGAATTTATTGAATTATTGAAGTTTCATTATTTACTTCAATTTCGGAAAGGCGTGGAGGCGGCGTTCCAGCATCTTGTTCGTCCAACAATGTTTCATGAGACTCCATGATGTGACCCTCTTTTTCACGGGTCCAGATCCTTCCTACAAGGATTTAAAAGTTATTTAAAAAGTAATATCTACATCAGGGAATGTAATGAAATAAATTTAATTAATTAAAGTTTACGAGATCTTTTTTATGTTAACAGGGTTTGCGGCCCCCGTGCCATTGTAGTTCCTTGGCTTTTTCCGAGTTCCGGTTTGCCTTGGAAGCTTTGCTTCTCATAAAAAAATATGGGATCCGTGGCCCATTGTTGACAAAACATCTCCCACACATCATCGCCAAGGAATTTTGGCTTTCTACCGGAAGACCGGGCAGTCCTAAAGTTGGGTCTCAACCACCTCGAGATCCTAGAATTATATTCTTTGAGAATAGCTTGGTCTAGGGTTGGATGCCATCGATGGGTGGCCTTCATTTAAAACATTGATATATCATTTGTCAAATTTAAGTTATTAAAATGTAACAAAAATTATTTATTTTTACCTTGAACAACTGCCACCAAAGGTTACGAGTGGCCGTCGTAACCTCGCCATAAGTCGACCAAGGCCCCGTGAAATGACCAGAAACAATATTCTTGATTCTATTTAACACCTCAGTATCACTTCAAAAAAATTGATAACTGATAAAAACAATTGTAATAATTTTTAGATGTATCAATTATACTGTTTTATATTAGAAAGTGTTAGTTATTAATTACCAATGAATTGATTCAGGTGTCATTTCAAGCGAATCGGGATTGAGGCGCTCGTCATGAGTAGTGGGGGCATATCTGAAAAAACAGTTAAAAAAGTTTTATTAACAGTTTCATGAATTTTGTTGGATTAGACATGTTAACTTTTTTGAAAGTGCAACATGAGGGGGACGAAAAATTGTAGAATTGAAATTAATATTGCTAAAAAATGTCCGAAATTAACAAGAACATAGCGCATAATTTGAGTGTATAAAAATATAAACGACGGCACAATAAAACATTTACAATGATTTCAAAATAAAAACATGCATTTAAATATAAAATAATATAAACACAAAAATAAATTGAATGATTAAACATATAAACAAATAATGAAGCAATAAATCTAGGGCATGCATTTTTAAATAAAGAGATAGAACATGCATATGAGTATATAATCATGTAAACACATAAAAAAATGAATGCATATGAACATATAAACAAATCATTGAACAATAAAAATTTTGAGCATGCATTTTTAAAGAAGTAGAACATGCATTTGAGTATATAAAATTACAAACGAAAGCATTTCAAATCATTTACAATCATATAAGTACAGGGAAATATTTGAGTATATAAGCATATAAACATATTGAACGTATATGAGCATATAAACATATTGAATGAATAGGAACATATAAACATATAAACATTAAATTAAACAATATTAATAAAACTTGCATTTTTGACATTTTAAAACATTTATAATAAAATATATGGATATTAAAGAGTTCCAAACATAACCTTGATGAAGGAGAAGACGGCGTGAAATGGAGAGCGGTGGCAACTTCGACGGCTTAGACGGCGAAGGACGACGGCAGAAGGCGGAGATGGATTGCGGTGGAGGGTTGTGTGCGGCAGCGGTGGTCGTTGTGTAAGAGTGAAGGGAGAATATGAAAGAAGATAAAAATGTAGGGTTTGGGAGCGTAAGGAAACAAATGTCGAAGTATTGTTTATATATAATGGGCCGTGACAAAGCCCATTCGAAATTTGAATTTTCAATTTAAGTGGTCAGGGACGACAGTCGAGGCGTCAGGGACGGCAGTCGAGGCGTCAGTTGGTGGAGTTGATCGGGTTTGTCACGGACGGATCCGTGACAAATCCGTGTCAAAATTCAAAAATTTGAATTTTGTCACGGATCAATCCGTGACAAAGGGTTCCAGAGAATAAATTAAAGTTGGATAAGCAGGAACGGCAGTTGAAGCGTCAAGTTCTTTTATTGTATAAATATGTGTTTCGAGGCCCAATTTTTAGGTGCAAAAAAAATGGTTAATCCAGAACCAGATGTTTGGAAGTTGATAAGTAAAAGTTTACAACGATTAAAACAAGTTACACAGTTGATGAGGCCTGTAAATGCAGAAGCAGTTCAAAAAATCCGTGAGCTGATGGGTAGACCGCTTGAAAGCTTTGGCGACATTGTTGACTTTGAATCAGACTCATACAACGTTTCACAAAGGAAAAACTTGTGCAGGGCACTTTTTCGTGCGGAACAATGTTCAAAGTATATGATACCTATAAACGCGGAAGCTGAAGAAAGAATTAACGAGCTACTTGATAGGCCTCTAGATGAAAGCTTTGAGTGGTGGGAAAATTGGACCAAGTGACCAAGGTTCGAAACCCGCAGCGGCCGTGTAGACAATCAAAGTAACTTGGTTTCCTGCTAAATTTGAGCCAATTGACATCTGATTTCTCCATACATATCGGACATCCCATAAGACCGTGTGTGCTCCATCCTGAAAGCATACCATAAGCATGGAAGTCGCTAATGGTCCAAATGATGACAACTTTCATGATAAACATTTCATCTCTTGAAACATCATAAATTGGTGACCCAATGGCCAAAAGTTCTTTCATCTCCTCGATCAGAGGTTGGAGATACATGTATGTATTTTTTTTAAGATCTGAGGGACCAGGACAAATTAAAGTCAAAAAGATGAAATGACTTCAAATGACTGCAATAACCTATACATGCAAGATTCAGGGAGACTATATTCAGATTTAATGTTCATCAACTCTGTGAAAGCTTTAAGTGGTGCGAAAATTGGACCAAGTGACCAAAATACGAAACCCACAACGGCCGTGTGGAGGTTACAGAAACTGAAAAAAAGTTGGACCTCTGGTGCGCACGTGTATAAGGCCTACCGTCGCTTTGCTGACTGAGTCACCGTGATTAACCTCCCTATCATCATGTCGTCTCGGGATGGGGGGCTCCTAGGATGGGGGGCTCCTGGGGTGGGAGATTCCACCTTTTGGATCAAGTGTTTATTTGTTTATCAATAATGTTAGCTGTTAAATGCAATAAATGATAAAAAATTGTGTGTTTTCTACTTTGTTTTTAAATTTAATAAATAAATTCATGTTCTTGTTTATTAAATTTCGAATTATTAAAATTTTCTAATGTTAAAAAACTAATAACAAATAATGTTAATAATTTTTTAGATGCAAGACCGTCTTTGATTTTGTGGGTAAAATCCATAACCGTGTTAAATATATTGTCAAAGACGTTCTTCTCAACGTGCATGACATCTAAATTGTTACGAATGAGAAAGCTGCCGATCAGCCTCTGTATGCTGATTGTGAGGGATACTCTCATCTATCTGCCATTACAGAGTTGATGAACATTAAATCTGAATACAGACTCCCTGAATCTTGCGTGTATAAGTTATTGCAGTCATTTGAAGTCATTTCATCTTTTTGACTTTAATTTGTCCAGGTCCCTCGGATCTTAAAAAAGGATATACATCTATCTCCAACCCCTGATGGAGGAGATGAAAGAACTTTGGACCATTGGGCCACCAACTTATGATGTTTCAAGAGATGAAATGTTTATCATGAAAGATGCCATCATTTGGACCATTAGCGACTTTCATGCTTATAGGTATGCTTTCAGGATGAAGCAAACACGGTCTCCCTGAATCTTGCATGTATAGGTTATTGCAGTCATTTGGAGTCATTTCATCTTTTTGACTTTAATTTGTCCAGGTCCCTCGGATCTTAAAAAAAGGATATACATCTATCTCCAACCCCTGATCGAGGAGATGAAAGAACTTTGGGCTATTGGGCCACCAACTTATGATGTTTCAAGAGATGAAATGTTTATCATGAAAGCTGTCATCATTTGGACCATTAGCGACTTTCATGCTTATGGTATGCTTTCAGGATGGAGCAAACACGGTCTTATGGGATATCCGATATATATGGAGAAATCAGATACCAATTGGCTCAAATTTAGCAGGAAACCAAGTTACTTTGATTGTCTACACGACCGCTGCGGGTTTCGAACCTTGGTCGCTTGGTTCAATTTTCCCACCACTCAAAGCTTTCATCTAGAGGCCTATCAAGTAGCTCGTTAATTCTTTCTTCAGCTTCTGCATTTATAAGTATCATATACTTTGAACATTGTTCCGCACGAAAAGTGTCATACACAAGTTTTTCCCTTGTGAAACGTTGTATGAGACTGATTCAAAGTATATAATGTCGCCAAAGCTTTCAAGCGGTCTACCCATCAGCTCACAGATTTTTTGAACTGCTTCTGCATTTACAAGCCACATCAATTGTGTAACTTGTTTTAATCGTTGTAGACTTCTACTTATCAACTTCCAAACATCTGGTTCTGGATTAGGCATTTTTTTGCATCTAAAAATTGGGCCTCGAAACACATATTTATACTTAAATTTTTCACGGATATGTCTGTGACAATAAAAGAACTTGACGTCTCGACTGCCGTCCCTGCCTATTCAACTTCAATTTATTCTCAAGAACCTTTTGTCATGGATTGATCCGTGACAAATCCGTCACAAATTTCAAATTTTTGAATTTTGACACGGATTTGTCATGGATCCGTTCGTGACAAACCCGGTCAACTCCGCCAACTGACGCCTCGACTGTCGTCCCTGACGCCTTGACTGCCATCCCTGACCACTCAACTTCCGATGGGATTTGTCACGAACATTTTCATGGTCTTGTGTTTTCTAAAACTGATACTGGCATTTTACTTACTGGCTATGTTGATTCCAATTATGCAAATGATAGGGACAATAGAAAGTCTACTACTTCCTATATTTTCACTCAATGTGGTTCCTACATAAGTTGGAAATCCCAACTACAACCTATTGTTGCATTGTCAACTACTGAATCTGAATACGAGGCAGCCACTGAAGCCTTTAAGGAGGCCATTTGGCTGAAAAGTATACTAACTGAAATTGGTTTTCTTAAGCAGGTTGTGACAGTTTACTCTGATAGCCAGACTGCTATCCAATTGTGCAAAAATCATGTATTTCATGACAAGACCAATCATATTGATGTCAGGTTTCACTTCATCAGGAATATTGTTGATGCAGGATGGATAAGGCTGTCCAAGATAGCTTCTAAATTTAACTCTGCTGATATGGGAACTAAGTGTCTCACTTTTGAAAAACTGTTGTCTTGTAAACGTACTCTTAATTTAGATTGTGGCTAGATAAGAGCAGCTAAAACAAGAAAAACCGGCGATGATGATACTCCCTTTCACAATGTGCTCTACAACAGCAGGGAGACCAATAAGGTGGAAATTGTTGATGGTATTGGTCCACCTCATTAAAGCCTTGGTCCACCTCTTTAATGCTTTGGTCTCCTATTTAACAATTCTGACCCATTTGAGCTGTCTACCGGACCAAACCCACTTACCCCCTTTTGTCTTCGACCAAGCCACTGGAATCCCTTTATACTTGACGCAGTAGAAATTTCACCCACAACTGAAGTTCGTAGTATTCTAAATAGTCTATAATGCTAAGTCATTTACAATTTTCTTACCCAGATGATGAAATTTATGTTTGTTCAAATCTACCATTCTAGATTAGTTGTATCCAATGTTATTCAATAAGGCATCTTTTTATATGTTCCGTCACAACTTAATTCGAAGGTGTGGTTCATTATAAGCTTATACGAAGAAGCAAAGCACTAGTCTAGTAGCCTACAATGGTCGAACTTGGTCATATGATAATTATTATTGATCGACATTTTTTTTGGATTTTAATTATTATTTCGGAACTACAAACATTGGTCTAGTATTTTAAGTTTATTAAATACTACTACTACAGTACTACGTACATAGTATGTCATAAATTTAGTTGGAGTTTTCAGGGTACTTATCTTTTGGAGAATTTTGGAATTTTGATTTCAATATGCGGGTCACTCCTCTTTGGGCCATATGTCTTCGACTCCAGGTTAGAGGCCCAATTGTTGAAAGGTGCAGCAAAGCAGCCCGGTCCAACTGCGGAGAGTGAGAGGGCTGATGTAGGAACTGCCCTCAGTCGTCGGCGATGTAATGGAGATCCCTTTGTGAAATAATGGAAAAGGTTACTCCCTGAGGAGTCCTGGCAGATATATTTATATTAGAGAGAGTTTAATGTAAAGTACAATACTAAACCTATAATAATTCTATTACACCCCCTCAAACTGTGCGGGAGATACAACGCACAGGTTGTCTTTCAAAAAATGAAAACGTTGACTAGATAGACTTTTAGTAAAAATATCTGCCAGCTGTAGATGAGTAGGAACATGTTGAACAATCAGATCTCCATGAGCAACCCGTTCGCGAACAAAATGATAATCAATCTGAATATGTTTACTGCGAGCATGCTGAACTGGATTTGCAGTCAAGTAAGAAGCAGATATATTATCACATAATAAATGTACCGGCTCGGAGATAGGTCATCCAAATTCGAACAGGACTGAGCGGATATGTAGTGTGTCTTGTACTGTGTAAGCAATGGCACGATATTCCGCTTCAGTGGAGGACTTGGACACAGTGGGCTGCTTCTTAGCCTTCCAGGAAACCAAATTAGGGCCCAAAAATACAGCAAAACCTGTGGTAGACCGAGAACTATCAGGACAACCTGCCCAATCTGCATCGGAGTAAGCAACTATACAGGTTGGCCGATTAGACTGCTGAATGAAGTCAAAGTCCATGATCTCGTGTTCCCTGCAAGTATCTGAAAATTCTTTTGACTGCAAAAAGATGAGTGGTACGAGGAGCATGCATGAACTGAGACACTAAGTGTACTGTATAAGTAATATCTGGTCGTGTCAAAGTTAAATATTGTAATGCAACAACCATGCTGCGATACTCAGTAGAATCAGATAATAACTCACCATCAGAAAGAGACAGAGTGGTACGGGAAGCTAACGGGGTGCGAACAGGTTTGACAGTATGAAGGTGAAAACAAGCTAGAAGGTCAGTAACATATTTATGTTGAGAGAGAAACAAACCTTTAGCTGAACATATGGCCTCAACACCCAGAAAATAATGGAGATTACCCAAGTCTTTCATAGCAAAATGTTTAGATATAATTGAAATAAATTGGGTAACAGAGAAATCCGAATTGCCAGTAATAATAATATCATCCACATATAATAATAAATAAATAATAGTATTATTCTGGCGGTATATGAACAAAGAATTGTCGGATTTGCTACAGGAAAAATTATGTTGTAGAAGAAAGTTACTAAATCTATGAAATCAGGCTCGTGGAGCTTGCTTAAGGCCATAAATGGCCTTGCGCAGACGACATATATGATTAGGAAAGTGAGGGTGAATAAAACCGCGGGGCTGCCGCATATAAACTTCTTCTGTCAGATTCCCATGTAAGAAGGCATTTTTAACATCAAGTTGTCGTATACCCCACCCAAAAGAAATAGCTAGAGTAAGTACAATACGAACAGTGGTGGGTTTAACGACAGGACTAAAAGTTTCAGAGAAATCAATACCTGCCTGCTGATTAAAACCCTGTGCAACTAATCGAGCTTTATGGCGCTCTAAGGATCCATCAGAATGATATTTAGTTTTATAAATCCACTTACAACCAACAATATTTTTAGAGTTATCAAAGGGCACCAAGTCCCACGTATTATTATTAATGAGTGCATTAAATTCATCAGCCATCGCCTCACGCCATTTTAATTGTTTATTTGCCTCAGTAAAACAGGTAGGATCTGCATTGATAGTAACTGTACTTAAATTAAAAATGGTTTTAGGCTTAAAAATTCCTGACTTAGCACGGGTTTGCATGGGATGGTGATTAACTACCGTAGTGGACGTAGGTGAGGTGGTTTCAGGTGAGACAGTGTCGGTTGATGATGTATGTGGCGTGCTAGACGAAGTATGGGAGGAGAGATGGGATGGTGGGGGGCTGGTTGTGGCCGTGGGATAGGATTGTTGGGGCGACGGTACACACGGAGTGATAGGAATACTTGGTGACCGAGGTGGCGATGATGGGGTTGGTGCTGGTGCGGCCGTAATTGTGGGAACAGACTGGAGTGGTGGATCAAGAGTGATATCGGTGAGATGCATAGGAGATGGTGTAGTAGAAATAGACCTGGATGGAGCAGACGAGAGAGTTTTAAAAGGATATGTATCCTCATGAAACCTAACATGACGGCTAACATAGACTCGACCTGTGAAAGGATCCAAACAACGATAGCCTTTATAACCGGATGCATAGCCAAGGAAAACACACTGAACTGAACAAGGTGATAATTTATTGGCTGAGGTGGCATTAAAATTTGGATAACAGGCAGAACCAAATACTCGCATAAAGGAGTAATCTGGAACTCGGTTAAACAGTTTTTGATACGGAGTAAGACCATTTAAGGTTGGAGAGGGTAATCTATTAATAATATATGCAGCAGTAAATATGGCATCGACCCAATAGTGACTCGGAACCGAAGCTTCAAGAAGCATGGTCCTAGTTAACTCAAGTAAATGACGATGCTTGCGCTCAGCAACCTCATTTTGTTGAGGTGTGTCAGGGCAAGATTTTCTAAAGTAAATGCCATTAGCAGAGAAAAATTGCTGCATATTATTATTAACAAATTCACCTCCCCCATCACTTTGAAAAATTTTAATTTTCCGATTAAAAAGATTTTCAACCAAAGCTTTAAAATTTTTAAAGTGCATGAAAACTTCATTTTTGTGACACATGGGATATATCCAAGTATAACGAGAAAAATCATCAATGAAACATACATAATACTTGAATCCCAAATTTGAATACACAGGTGACTGCCACACATCAGAATGAATAATTTCCAAAGGAAAAATAGAATTATGACTAGCATCCATAAAAGGTAAACGTTGTGATTTTCCTAAACGATAGGCCACACACTCATGAGTAAAGGGAGTATGACTACATAAAAATTGTTTTCTCTTAAGAAACTGTAAAGTACTATCACCACAGTGACCTAATCTACGGTGCCACACAGGGCCAGAAGCTAAAACGGAAGCAAAAACTAATGGTGATGCAAACGGCAGATGGAGAGGATAAAGTGGTCCACTACTAGTTGCTCGCAGAAGTATTGCCCCCGTTGCTTTGTCCTTAACCAAGAAAGAATTTTTATCAAAAATTACAGTACAATTATTATCAGCACAGAGCCTTTTAATGGAAATTAAATTATATTTTAACTGAGACACATGATAAACGGATTTTAAAGTGAGAGGACGACCAGATGTAGGTAAAGCAACATCACCAATATTACATATGGGAAGATGGGCACCATTGGCAACACTAACAGAATTATAGCAGGTGTAGGGAGATTTATTAACTAAATTACCTTCAGATGCAGTCATATGAGCAGAAGCTCCTGAATCAGGAAACCATAGAGCAGGAGTAGTGTCACCGGGAGTAGTCAACAGAGCAGGAGACGTCGGTTGTGTAAAACGAGAAGGACAGTTAATGGCAGAATGACCTGTAGAAAAACAAATTTGACAGACAACGGGATGGGGAACAGATCCGAGAATACCTCCATCTGATGGCAAGCCTGTATGACTACTATTAGTGACACAGATAGGTAAAGCATTAATATTTAAATGTGACACAGCAGAATTACAAATAACAGTACCCGTAGATGTCACACCCCCTGCAGGAGTACTCGACTGCCCACCCCCTCCGGGGTAATAAACTGGATGCCCCTGGGGAAACCAATATGCCTGCTGCTGCTGTCCTCGGCCACGCCCCCTGCCTCCGCGGCCTCTGCCGCGCCCACGTCCTCGCCCACGCTGTGGAGCGCCGTTCTGCCGAGCCTGCCCGACCGGGTAAGTCTGCTGCCCGACCGGGTGAGTGGATCTTGAATTCTGCTGGGTTGGCTGCTGCCCAGACGACTGCCTGGGATATGAAACAGCCGCGCCAAACGCCTGATGAATGGACTGGGATTCCTGGGAGCGGAGATAAAGGACCCGCTGCTCTAACTCAAGAAGATGATTACGGAGAGTCTCAAACGGGAAATTTTGTCCAAATAAGGACACAGCAGTGTATAAAGATTCATACTCGGGTCCTAGACCCATAATAGTAGTTTTTAAAATTTCACGCTGAGGCACAGGGCAATTGATTGTGGCAAGATCATCAGCTAATGTTTTAATTTCTCGCAAATAATTATCCATGGACTGATCAGGTTTCTTTTTAATTTGATTAAATAAACGCTTTAATTCCATAGATCTCGCTAAACTAGCAGACATAAACCGAGACTCCAACCGCTCCCAAATTTCATATGAATGTTTTAAATCACGTACATCGATAAGAACATCCCTAGATAGGGTTGCAAATAACCATGAACGGATGGCTTGATCAATTCTTAACCAAGTAGAAAATTCGGGATTGTGAGTTTGACGGTTAAGAGCATCTATGGAATAAGCAGGGGGTACCTGAATGGATCCATCAACCACGCCAAGGAGAGCTTGGGACACCAAAAACGATTCGAACTGTGTACGCCAGGTAGTGTAGTCTTCCACCGCTAATAATTTGGTAGTTACAATATTTGTGACATTAGTTGCCACATGTGAGATACTCTGGGCGAGATCTGTGAGGAGTGAGCCAGTCGGGATGACTGCTGGTGTGCGAGAGGGAGGGATGACAGAGGAGACACCAGGTGAGCCAACAAAAGTGGGACCGGCAAACGATGATCCAGCCGAGATGGGTGGCGTGTAGAGGCCTGGGGCCGCTGGCATGGCAGGTGGCTGCCACGGAATTCCCGGATGAAGAGTCTGAAACAGTGAGTAGGCACCGGGAATGTCAGCGATGAAGGAAGAAGAGGCTGGCGAGGGAGTCACCTGCGGCGGCGCGGTCAGAGGAGTGGCGGCGCTGGTGATGACTAAGGCTGCGTCGGTGGCGGCTGATGTGACCGGCGCCATGGTCGAAGAAGTTGGAGCCACAGTGGAGAATTCCATGGATCCGGCGGAGATGCATCCTGCGGCGGCGGAGATGCGGCCTGCGGCGGCGCTTTGCTGAGGGGCTGCGGAAGCCGTGTAGCGGAAAAAAAAATTAGGGTTAGGGAAGAGAGAGAGGAAAAATTAATGCTCTGATACCATGTGAAATAATGGAAAAGGTTACTCCCTGAGGAGCCCTGGCAGATATATTTATATTAGAGAGAGTTTAATGTAAAGTACAATACTAAGCCTATAATAATTCTATTACCCTTAGGCTGATGCACCGCTGGAAGTGAGACCAGACCGTTGAGCTATCTGTGGCGGAGTGATCTACCAGAATCGAGGTGGGCGGTTCCGTGACGGCGGAGGCGGAGCAGTTGGCGGCGGAGAGGTAATTAGGAACAGAGGCGAACACCAGTTTGGCGGAGACGACACCAACGTAAATGGCTGATTTTTCCTTCTTTTTTCGAATTTTTTACAACCTTTTTTGCTAATTTTTTGTAATTGTGATGGATTTCTGTATAGTTTTGGAAGGATAGGACTTGATTGTTACTCAAATCTCTAGAAACAAAATGGAAAATAGCAAAGATTGAAGATGAATAGTGTTAGGTTAAGTATATATAGAAAAATAGTTGGTTGGTCCGCTAATATGGGCTGCTCATGGACCCAATTATATGAAGGCTAATTTAATACGGAGTACGTAGTAGATACAAGCGAATAACTAAAAGTGTACAACAATATGTTATCTGCGGAGCACATATTCAAGCCCATAATCTGGAGATCGTGAGTTTGGCTCTATATATTTTGGAATTTTTTCAAACATAGACTAAAAATTGAAAATAATATCATTTTTGTCACCCTTCATTTTTTTTCAAAAATAAACTTACTAATACATCATTTTCACAAATTGACTATACGGAGGTAACGGACTAAAAACATCAGTCCACTTTACTAGAGTCTTCTTACTATCCTCCGTTACATAAAAGTTTCAATAGTTTGACTTTCACGTTTGACAACGTGCAACTTTAATTGTAATTATATTTATTTACGTATTAGTAAACATTAAAAAAAATTAATATATTGGAAATTTACATTAATACAAATTTATTAATGTACAAACTTCACCAACCACTCCATCTTTGTTTTTAAATAAAAAAGGTAAGAATTCATGGAAAACCCAAAAGGTGTTAAATAATTTTTAAAAACACAAAGTGAAAATATAAAATTAAAAAACAAATGTAATAAAAGTTGAAAAATAGAAAAAATGTAAGTTAGATACTCCGTATTATGAATTCGATAATTATAAAACAAATTATAAAAATGTAAATTAAGCTTATCATAAATTAAAATAAAAATGAAAAACGTTTAAAATAGTGTAAAATGTTGTAAAATTGCAAAAAAAAAACTCCCTCCGTCCAATAAAATTCTTCCCACTTTCCTTTTTGGGTCGTCCCAAACAAAAATTCACACTTTCCATTTTTGGATAATTTGTGTGGTTCACATTCATTTCACTTTTTTCTTACACAATCACAACCATACATTTCCACTTTATTCCACTTTCTTAATCTCCGTGCCAAGTCAAAGTGGGAAGAATTTTATGGGACGGAGGTAGTAAAACTTATAAATTTCTGTGATTTAATTTTTAATATATCATTGAAAATTTAAAAAAAAAACTCAAAATAATAAAAAAAATCGTAAGTTACATAAAAAGTAAAAATAGTTAAAAATTTAAAAATCATACAAATATGGTACAAAAATGAAAAAGTCAAAAAATACAAAAATATAATTAAAAATGTAACAGAAAAGGTACACAATATGATTTTTTTAAATGTGATTTTTTAAAATATATAATAAAATTAATAAAAAAATATAAAAATCGAAAATTTTATACTAAAAAGTATAAAATATTTAAAAACCAACAACTTTGAAACTATTTAAAAATACGTAAAATAACATGAAAATGTTTTGAAAATATTAAATAATATGAAAAACAATCATAATGTTGTATGAAAATGTAATTATTTTGAAAATTTGAAAAATATTCATTCGAAAAGTTAAAATAAATTTAAATTATAGTTGTAAAAATAAAAATATATTACATATAATTATACGGAGTAAAAAATAATAATTTTAATGTAACCTAGAAGATTTTAAAATTAAAATAAATTCAAAAAATTAAAATTAGAAAAATTAAAATACAGAACTTGGGAAAAAATGAAAAAATTAAAAGCACTTAAACCTTTGTGATTATTATTATAATTTTATTTTATTACTATTTTGTTGGGTGCCGTTTGTATGTGTTTCCTTTAGTTTATAATTATGAAATTTTGGTTTTTGATTGTTTCTTTATGTTTCTGGTTGTTGTTTATATTCATAAATATAAATTTTTCGTTTTAGGTGTTTCTTTAGTAGTCTATATAGATATTTTGATTTTATTGAAGTAGCAAGGATAAATAGAAGCCTAAAAAATTATAAATCAACAAAAAACAACAATAAGCAACATGACACAATATTAAGCAACACTTTGCAACAAAAAACAACATTTTGCAACAAAAAGCAACACAATGCAACAAAAAACAATGCAAGTGATACAACAATAAGAAGCAAACGATAGACATACAAAAGTGTAATCTATATAGATATTTTGATTTTATTGAAGTAGCAAAGATAAATTGAAGCCTAAAATATTATAAATCAACAAAAAACAACAATAAGCAACATGACACAATATTAAGCAACACTTTGCAACAAAAAACAACATTTTGCAACAAAAAGCAATGCAATGCAACAAAAAATAATGCAAGTGATACATCAATAAGAAACCAACAATAGACATACAAAAGTGTCACAACAAGTATATAATTCAATCCAAATTGAGACTGTCGTATTTCTGGATGCAGTAAGTTGTATTTAGCATATGATTATCTCTAGAGATACTACATTTCAGTCAAATGTAGTTTCGAGTTTGTTTATAGTTTCTGGATTTCGAGATTTCTGACAAAAAATTCAAAAAGATCTTCAAATGACTGGTTGCTAGTGTTGAGCATGCCACCTTTCATTCTCATCTTTATACGTTCCTATCAAATATAAAAATCAATGAATTATGGATCATAAGGGAGCATATGGAGATGACAAGTCCAAAAAGGCATAAGACATGTGGGAGTATATGGCTTTAACTTTAAATAAAGGTAAAGAAGAGCTCTGAACATGCAAACCAAATTAAGAAACACACAAATGGATGATCCGCTGTAAAGTCTCAAGAGCGCAAGTCCAAATGAAAAAATATGTAACTCGGAAGAAAGGAAATTCTGGAAGTAAATAATCAGTTTTAGACAATAGTTATGTACTTATGTTGTATTATTGATTGGAGATTGGTCAAGGAAACTCAATTCACAAAGAGATTTAAAACAAATTCAACCAAAAGCCAAACAGAACTCACAAAATGAATACAAATGGCAAGTTGTGTTAATAAGAAAAATTCAGAAAGTGAATAAGCATGTAAATCTGACTTAAAGCTTAGAAGGTAGAAACTTTAAGGTTTGACTTATAAAACGTAACCGGTAACTTTTATTAGTGAGAAAATAGTACAATATGAGCAAGAATACATCAGTAAGCGCGACAGCTCATTCGCAGAATACATTTAAAAGTAAAGCTAAAAATATTACATTTCTTGAAGATTATAATGTTTATAACCTAGAAAGTAGAAACTATACAATTTTCATTTGAGACTAGTTTCTAGTTTCTAAATTTCTATATCAGCAGAATCTAGTTTCTACTTTTCCTAACTAATCAATCTCAACCTTAGTTTGACTGAAATTTTCACACAATATCAATTAAAAGCTTTTATACGAGAATAACAATTATCTCTAAACTTGGCAATTGGATAAAGAATAGAGTTCCAACATTTAATGAGAGCCTTCATCATGAGAGCACATGTATATATACAACATTAGAAAAATATGCCATTTTTACAGTAACGCAAAATTCAAATGCATTCATTCAATAAGAGTTTTCGTCAAAGTCACATTTACATTGAAATTAATAAATTAATAATACAGTGTGTAATGAAAATATGTGAAAATCACAAGTAGAATTCACATTAATACTAATGTAGTTGTACATATGCAGATTGGCAAAAGCAGGAAAGAAAACAACAAAAACAACATTACACAGATAACAAGCCAGGAATAAAGAAGACTACAAACATAAAATATTAGTTAGAATACAATGACTCAACTAAAAAACCTCTTCTGGTACATGACAAACTGAAGGGGTTTGTGAGAGACCTAATGAATAAAAGCTCTTAGTTGCATTCCTGCTGCTACATTGCCCTGAAGAGTCCATTACAAACCTTCAGGTATTTTAGTGATCATGTCTAGTGCTAGAGGAAGTTTCAGTTCTTTCCGGGGAGGTCGGGGAGGTCGGGGAGGTTCTGTGAACCAAAACCAAAATGTTGACCTGAATTCTCCTGTTCCTACTTCCCCTTGAATCCGTTCAATCACGAGCAGTGAATGATGAACCTTTTGATCATACGGGCCATGAGTCTGTCCAGAATGTGTCAAAAATCTGGATCTTACCTCATGAAATGCTCATGTATGATTGCTTTTTAGCTTGTCCGTGTTTATTTATAGTCTTTCTTGAATATGTATGATACTATGAAATAGTATTCATGTGTAACAACCATATTGTCCTTAACTCTATAATTTCGATCATTACCAACAATTTCCATGGGCCGTGGCACTCATTTAAGCATGCAGATGCAGATCAACAAGAAAGCTGGTGGCGGTTGATTGAGATACTTTTTTAAATATACCATTTCACTGTAGACATTAATTTTCTACTTTTTAAAATTTTCTAAGGACATTAATTAAATATGCTTATTCACTGTAGAGAAAGTATGACTGGGACCCATGCTATAATAACAGAATAAAGAAGAGGTTTTGTTCTAGGGCATCTGAATGGTTAAGCAAGAACATTGGTCGGGCAAGATGGCAGAACAAGAAGCCATAGTGGATATGTGATGGTGACTGGATGTTGTTGAAAGAGTATTGGGGGTTTGATTCATTTAAGAAGAAAAGTGATATCGAGAAGAAAAACCGCAACTCCCAGAAGGTGAAGGAGTCACAGTATCGTGGCGGACGGATTCCGGTCAGTAGACATGTTGAAAAAATGGTAAATTCCCACTTCACTTGTGTAGTTGAATTATTCAGCACTATTTAGAATTATTAGCATTAAATTCTGATATACTATCCTCCGTTCCATAAAAGTTGCAACGATTTAACTTTCACGTTTGCGAACGCGCAACTTTGACTGTAATTACATTTATTTACGTATTAGTAAACACTAAAAAAGTTAATATATTGGAAATTTACATTAATACAAATTTATTAATATTTTATACATAATATTTTTATTATATATATTATTAGAAAATCATAGTCAAAGTAAGGTGTATAAATAGTGCAGAAATTCTAATGTTGCAACTTTTATGGAATGGAGGAAGTATTTAGTATTTGTGTGTTCATAGACCAAAGATTTGAATTGGGAGTCTCCGAAAATTGAAGTGTACGAGAAGGTGTATGTTCCCAAGGAAGGTGATCCTCCACAGCGTGTTGTTGAGATTCGGGTATGCTCTTTATCTGTTCTGAATATATATTAAACTTCTGTTTTTTTGAATATCAAAGTTATTGATGTGTTTTAACATTCTGTATCATCTGCAGCAAAAGTACAACGAGTTGAAGGTGCATGCTGAATCTGAAGGGAAATCATATGACGTTGATGATTCTGAGCTTTTCTACAAGGTGGTTCCCACTTATAGAGGATGGCGATATGGGACGAGGTCTGAAGCGGAGTCCCTGTCCGGAAGCCTGGAATGTTAAAGCCGGCACTCAGGGCCCACCCAACAAGAAATTGATGCCCTTATCAAAACGCAAGTGGAAGCCCGATTCGCAAAGCAGGAGCAACTTTGGCGAGCGCAGATGGAGAACATGTCCAATGCATTTATGTCAGTTTTGCGACAAGTCCATACCTCTAACCCGTCTGTCACGGTGGCTAATCTGGACGTTTTGCGTACCCCGACCCCTGTTCCAATGAACTGCCTGCAAGATTCTCCCGAAGTTCGAATGGATGAACTATTTCCCTACATTAATCAAAATGGCGTTGTTGGCCTAGTTTAATGTCGGTTTGTTGAATGTTAAGCACACCTTTTTTATTTCATGTTATGGACATCTACTACTTTTATATTTCTGCTCAAGGTTTATGGCCATGTCAATTTGGCATGTTGAAACATTCTTTTTATGTTTATATTGCACAATTCGGTTTTAGTTTACATATTGCATGTTTTATTGTTCAGTTTACAATGATACATATGTTTTATTACTGTTTGGAATGAATGTTAATTGGTGTATAAAATTTACTATTTGGTTTAAATCAGAGAAACGTATATTGTATATATGTACGTACGTCGTACATATATACGGTATACGTTTTTTTGAATCTAATTACATTTGGCTCGGAAATAGCCGTCCCAATTTTTGACACAAGCGTTGAAAATATATGACGTGGAATCCGTACCAAAAAACGTGCCTAAATAAAATCCGAGCCAAATGTTGGGTGAATTCGTTTAATGCTACAGGCACGCAATGTCCCAACCAAATTCCCAGCCAAAGTTTGAGACTAAATTATAAAACCGGGCCAACACGTTTGGCTCGAGCTAGGTGGCACATAATTAAAAACCTTGCCAAATCCGAGCCAAGACCGTTCGTCTGGGAAAATTGTGAAGAGATCCCTGCCTATATCCGTGCCTATACCGAGTTTTTTTTTGTAGTGGTTATGCATTTCAAATGTTATCTTTCGAGAGGCTTTAGGAACATCTGGCTTCCCGTAAACAACCCTTAAATTTTGGAAGGTTAGTCATCACAAAAGTAGGTGATCGTGAGCTTTTGAACAGTTTATCAATATAAAACACCAAAAAATTTCAACTTTCATATTCAAGATTCTTCAATAGATAGATATCATTCATAAAAAACACATGGTCTATCAAATGAAATTTCAACTTTTTTTAACAATCCGTTAAATCTATGTTGATCATTTAGTGCGTCGGGATTTGGGAAAAGACAAAAGAAGCATTTTAAATGTGAAAAAATAAGAAAACATACTACAAACATACTAGTGTAAATACTCCGTATACAAAACCTGAAATAAGGCTGGTCCTCTGGTGCGCACGTGTATAAGGCCTACCGCCGTTTTGGTGACTGAGTCACCGTGATTAAAGTACTTGTGAGTGTTGAATCACCACTCGAATGACGTGCGAATTTGTGTACACGGGAGCAACGAAAAATGAATCCCTTGAAAAAGTTCAATCATCATTCCACTTTTGCGGATAAAATAAGACAAACAATAACCTATTGATACAATTACTTTGCTCCAACATTCACATTTTTGTATGACATCAACATATTATTAGGCATAGTTTTATACCACATCAAGAATGAATTATCTTTCACAAAAAGAAATATTTTTGAAGAGAGGTTATTGAAAAAGAAACCAAAAAATTCAACACAAAATAACTAAGCCAAAAACAACAGGCCATTTACTATGTACACTAATCTACTTGACTTTCAATCGGTAAAAAAACTTCACAAGTATCAGAAATAGTAATAGGAAACTAACTTAGATATGCCATTAAAATTATTAATGAAAAGACGATTACTTCAGGAAATGAAAATATTCTATGCTTATAATTTTTATTGGTAGTTTATTAAAGACTAATTTATTGAAAAAAACTAATAATAATGGTGTAAATTAGAGTTAGAGATTTAATAAAATTAGGACTAATGTTAAGAATTTAGTAACCCGCCATACTAAATGATCTACCTTGCATGCCTTCTTCATTTATGAAAATGTTGAGTCTTCTTCACAAAACTGCTCATAGGGAGATGTGAGAAGGTCATATTGCAGAAATACGCATCATCTAAACTAAATAAATGTAGTTGTTTAATCTATATACATTTTAGATTGACCTATTCATATGTATTACCAGAAGAAAATTGAGAAAACATAAACCAAAATAGTAAATTGAAATAACCTAGTGTTCGTTTGGTAGCTCAGTTTTTCGGCTTATCGGGTAACTTTTCATCAAACACGTAATTTTTGATTTCACGCGCTGAATTGCGTAATAATAAGAAAATGTAAGATTGAAGTTACTTTCCTGGCTGTATTGGCTAAAGTTACTACAGATGATCATTTTAGCTATTTTTACATACATAGTATAATATTTTCATTATTTTATTAATAAAATATATTTTAAATATAATTTATTAATAAATGAGCAAAATCAGTCAATTCAGCCACTTCAGCCAGAATTTCATAAATTTCAGCAGAATCAACGGATACAGTCAATTTTGATATTACCAAACGGGCTCCTACTCTTAGTATTTCAGAGGAAATTGAATTTCTGGTGTAAAATTTTTGATAAACATATGCATATAGACATCAACAATGGTTTGCAACTTGCAAGGAAATCGCACAAAGACTAAAAAACTAATAAAGAAAAACCAGTTCATTAAGTAATTTTGTAAGCCTAAGTTAGCAAATAATAAATTCACCTTCGATTATGCTTGTCAAATGGTCGAGTCCAGGCCGAAATGTAGTATTACAGACTCAAAACCGCTTCACTCTTCTTATCCTTGAGCCCCTTGCACTGACGGAAGGATATAGATCGTCGTTGTCTGGAGAAGCTGAGTAGCAAAGTATTATCCGGAGAAGAGAAAATATGTGTGAAGAAAATATGAGGAGAAGTGAGAAGTCAGAACATTCCGAAGAAAAATAAAAGAATGTGTAACAAGTGAAAAGGAATAAATATGATAAGGAGATTATCTAGTCTAGATGAACGGCTCTAATTTGTATTCCTATTAAGTACGGAGTATAAGGAATTTATGAAAACTTACTATAGTTTATGAAAAAAATTTGGTGTACATGAGTTGTACATAAATTATACACAACTCTCCTTTAATTGTCTATGTACACAGATAATTCATTTAAAAAGGGACAGGTTTTGAACATGGGATTTAACGGCTACTTGAACAGGCTCCCCATAGGCCCATAGTACATATGGTAAAGTGCCAGCAGCTGACTACCCACTCACTATCTAAGCTAAGCTTTACAGCCGTCTCCCACCTTCTTCACTACACCTAATTATCATATTCAAGAAAAAGGGGAACAAAAAAACTTCTTAAACCAATGTAATGTCGGAGCACACTCCATCCAAGAAACTAAAAACCTGCGCAAAAAACACCCACATCCAAAAGTGTGGAGAATTTCAAGCTCTCTTTTCCTCATTATTTAGTATTGTTGTCTCTAGATCAATAAGATGTTCAAAAAAAGGTCTTCACCAATTACGCAGAAAGTTTCCAATCTTTTAGCCGAAATCAGAAAACCCATTATTGCAAGAGTCAAGATTTCTCTGATAAACTCAGGGAAACTCAAGAGGGTCAAGCTTCTCAAGCATTACAACTATGGGTATATTCAGGAATACGAGTATTCACCTTCAAGCACACCACTTGTTCGACAGTATTTGTACAAGAGGGAACTGAAGAAGCAGCAGTGTGGCTGCAGAGGATTATTGGTACCCATGTTCTTGGTTTCAAGGTGTTGTTTGGGTGACCTGAGAGGGGAGGTAGAAGATGAAAACCACCAAGTTTTCATCCGGGATTTCGGCTCAGGATTGGAGGCACTGCCTTCTAATGGAGTAGCTGAGAGATATTCATTGGATGGAGAGAGCTCCATTGATGAGAGGGCAGAAGAGTTCATTGAGAGGTTTTATGAGGAGATGAGGTTACAGAGGCAGCAATCACTGATGAAGTAGGGTAGTTGGGTGCAATGGTGGATTCTTGGTTCAATATGAATCATGTGACTAAAATTGTTGTTTTTATTTTCATTATTTGCTCTCTGTTTTTTATTTACTCTGTATTTAGGTATCTTCCACGGATTCTTTAATGTTCATTACTGTTTGTTCTTCTGGAGTCTTGCTTGGCTACTTATTTATGGGAAAATTCTCCAAAGTAAAAATGTTGTGGAATTCAAAACTACTACTCTCAGTTAAATTTGGTAATGTTAAAGCATGACAATAATTACTTTTTAAGAAATAAAATTATGATAGTCTAATTTTGAAATCCATCAACCTTTTAAGTTTTGACTCATATTTAGAATAATTTATTTTTACTTTTTTTTATTGAATTTTGTGCTTATATAATTAAATGAATTAGGGAGTGTTTGAAATTGCTTCTACTTCTTTTAAAAAACAGAAATAGAATCAGAATCGGTTTTCAGAAGATGGTCTCCCCTAACTTCTCAATCAGAATCGGTAAATTGAAAATTGCTATTTTCAATTTACCAATCTTTCCATGGATTATTTTAGAGAAATGGTGTTAAATAGGAGCTTAACTTTCCGTATGTAATTAAATAAGACATTGACTTTTTTAACTTCTAAATAGGACCTAATTTTAAGAAGCTTCCAAAATTGCCCATGTTTCTTAATAGCATACACACGTTTGTGTTTTCTGTTATTTTCTTTCTCACATACATCGAAGTTCAGCTTTCTGGTTGTCGATGAAGTCTCATGAAGTCTCACACTCACACTCCAGCAATACTTACCCTTTATCATGAAGAAGAGGATGATGATGGTGCAAATAGAGTTGAGAGACCATAGAAACAGCAGCGCAGAACTATGCCGCAGTGCCGCCATGGTGAGTCGGTGATGCGGCGATGGCTCCTCGGCGCCAGAGACGGTGGTTGGCGGAAGGAATCCATTCTCCTCCTCCTCCTATTTCTTCTTCGTCTGCTCTTTTCCTCTTTTCTACCGCCGATCTCATAGCTTAATTTTTCCTCCGGTCATTTGGTTCTCCTTTTTTTGCCGGTAGATTTTCTATCTAGATGTAGCCATGAATATGTGGCGATGGAGAACTGCGACTGTTTTCGGATGCATACATGAGAAAGGTTTTATGTAAGAAACTAAGAATTATTACTAATTGGCTATTGGCTAGTGCAGTATAAATGGATAATGTTACAAAAAAAGATTTGCAACTGGGTGGTGGGTCGAGGTGAAATAAAAGAATTGCTTAATTGTTATTACACATAGGCAAATAGCTGATATGTCTTGGACTAATGCAGAGGGTAGTTGTTCCATTTAATTTATGCATCACTGAGTTTTTGTTTTGCACCAAAACTATTTGATGAAATGCCTATGTGAAAAAAAATCTCACTGTTTTACATTTTCAATTGAGAAAAATCACGGGCAGCTTATTTAAAGTGCATGAACGAGTGGGCTGATAATGTCCAGGCTACATTGACATTGTCACGGCAATGTCATTGACATTGTCACGGCAATGTCAATGTCATTGACATTGTCACGACAATGTCAATGTCATTGACATTGTCACTGCAATGTCATTGGCACTGTCACGACAATGTCATTGGCACTGTCACGGCAATGCCATTGGCACTGTCACGGCAATGCCATTGGCACTGTCACGGCAATGCCATTGACATTGTCACGGCAATATCATTGGCATTGTCACGGCAATGTCAATGTTATTGACATTGTCACTGCAATGTCATTGGCAATGTCATTGGCAATGTCATTGACATTGTCACTGCAATGTCATTGGCAATGTCATTGATATTGTCGTGGCAATGTCATTTTCATTGGCCTGGGGTATTACCTCGGGCTTTATATTAGTATGAAAGGTATACAGATGATCCATATACTATGTTTTATTTTATATTAGTGTATAATACTGAAAAACCAGTATTGAGAGTTCTTAGGGGCCATCAACTTCGGCGTATAAATTTCTTAAATCTAATCCTATAAATTGTAGAATGTGGAGATTTTACTTTGGGAGGGGTACTAAAAAATTATTGGCCAAAAAAAGGGAAGAGCAGATAACTGAATCAAATCGACGAAGACTACTCTCTGTATAAGAAATCTTAAAGGCATCGACATCAAGTTTGTGAAGGACTGGTGCCTCTCCCTTATGTTCCGTGATTCAGACATTAATGGCGCCCAAACATCTAGCTTCAAGGTAACAGAGGAGATCGGCCATGGCAAGAAGAAAACAAAATGATGTTTTATGTTAAAAAATCTGCCACTAATCTTCTTCCCAAACTCGAACGATTTCAGAAGTTCGAAAGTTCATAGAGATATGATTTAGTGTTGAAGAAGACGATTTACGACATTTTTCGTGCTCAAGCGATCGAGGTCTGGTGGATGGTGTTCGTGTTTAAGGTGTGTGGCCAATTCTATCCGCAGGGCACGCGTAAGCTCGTGCAACATAGGAAGGAAGCGGGGCTATTTTTGTCTCATAGCATGAAAATTAGTCCTATACGGGTATAAAAAAGTTGAAGGTCCTATTAGATTCCCTTAGCATGTTTAGTCCTATTGGTGTCTTATTCCCATTATTTTATCAAATACTATCTATGAAACTTGATTCTTAATGGAATGCATGAATTGGATTGAGAAATGTAAGGTAATATTTGCAAACTACTCTCATCCTATTTTATCTGTTTACTTTTCTTTTTGCGTTGTCCCAAAATAAGTGTCACATTTACTTTTTTAGAAAAAAATATGCGATTCACAAAATTTCACTTTATTATACTCAAATCTTAAGCACAATTTTTACATTTTCAACCACTTTATTAAGAATTGTGTCAAAAACAAATGAGACACATAAAATGTGACTAATGTAGTATCTTGTTTTGATTATAAAAACATACTCTGTACTTGGTGTGTTCTCATTATAAATTTATTTTATCTAATTGTTATTTAGATTTATAGTCAATCAAATCCACCTTCAGTGTTGACAACCTCTAATCCACCTTGAACAATAATTTCCCAACAACAGCCTTCACTTATAAATTTTTCTTACAAACATATATAGAGCCCGTTTGGTAACATAGAAATTGGCTGAATCGGTTGATTCTGCTGAAATTTTTGAAGTTCTGATTCAAGTGGCTGTATTGGCTGATCTTAGTGATTTATGAATAAATTATATTTAAAATAAATTTTATGTAAAGAAATAAAGAAAACAATATATGAAAAATAGCTAAAATGGTCATCTACAATAACTTCAGCCAATACAGCTAGAAAAGTAACTTCAACCTTATTTTTTCTTATTACTCCGTATTACACAATTCAACACTCCAAATTAAAAGTTATGTGTTTGGTTAAAAAGTTGACTGATAAGCTTGATGGTAAAATACACTGTACGGCCGGCTGTACGGTGCTCACCGTACAACTGAGTTTTTTGTAATTAAACCTCCGCGATTCAGCCCTGCAACTCGCGATTCAGCCCTGCAACTCACCAACGAAGACGACGAAGGACGGCAGATTGAAAGTCTGGTGCAACTCACGAACGCAGATCGCCGATAGCCAAGCTTCCAAGTGCAACTCACGAGTCACGACTGAGATTCTTAGCCGACGCAGAGACAGCTCTACCCCTGCGAGCGATTCCTATTCTTCACACTCTATTTTTCCGTCTCTGCTAATTTCTGGCCTGCTACATGGGCTGCCACATTTTTTTATACAAAATGAAATTATGAGCATAGTAGACATTTCGAATGAGTTTTATGATTGCTCATTTTGTAATTTATGTATACTCATTTGATATTTGCTTAATACTCATTTTAAATGAAATGAGTTTTATGTTAAACTCAAATGAGTATAACGCCCAAAAAGAATGAGCACACACAACTGAACCTTTTAGTTATTTGATACTAACTTGTAAGTTATGTATGCTCATTTTAAAATGTTGAACATTTCAAATGTATCGTACTAAACGAAAAAATAATAAATCAAAAGTTATATATAAGGTTTGAAACAGAGATCACTGATTCTCACCGTTAGGCTCCTAATACTCAAAAGAACAAGATTGATGCTCATCAAAGTTGCATAAATGCTCATTTAGGAGAATCCGCGATTTTCACAAAAATTACAATTTTGCCACCGGTTTTACAGTATACGCGTTCTAAGCCTGATAAGCCGAAAAACATAGTCACTAAACGGGCTTATAATCTCAATCTCCATTGAGATCTGTGTCCATCCTATGATCCTATCATTGACCTTAATACTCAGGAGTCTACGCGCATGCGGAAAAACCAAATTATTAAGTTTGTGTGCAAATTCTAATTGCTATAATTAGTGTGCTACCGAAGCAATGGTAAAAAAAGATTGAATCCCTCATCCTAAGGACCCACCAAGCCCAGAGGTGACAGAAGATATGAGCGTTTGAAAATTTCATTGGCTCAATTAGTCTAATAATATGAGGAAAAAATTGGCTAAAGTTAACTTTCACGTGGATTAATAAAGTAAAAAATGTGTGATTGAAATTTGTGCAGAGAAGAGAGAATTAATTTCAGCCACATATTCCTTACTTTAAATGGAAATGACAAATCTTTTTGGGAAATCCAAAAAAAGGAAATTTGACTAACCTTTTCGGGACGGAGGGAGTAAAAAATCTTACTATCCTTCGTTCCATAAAAGTTGCAATAGTTTGACTTTCACGTTTGCCAACGCGCAACTTTAACTGTAATTATATATATTTACGTATTAGTAAACATTAAAAAAGTTAATATATTGGAAATTTACATTAATACAAAATTATTACGGAGTAATATTTTATACATAATATTTTGATTATATATATTATTAGAAAATCGTAGTCAAAGTAAGGTGTGTGAATAGTGCAGAAATTCCAATGTTGCAACTTTTATGGAACGGAGGAAATATAGTTTTGGTACCAGAAACTAGCCCAAAACAAAGGAGCTATGAGTGTCCAACATGGCCGTTGCGGTCGGGTTTCGGTCCTTGATCGTTGTCTAATGGTTTACCGGTTGAGCTACCTGGCATGTCAAATGGATCAAATGGTACGAGTATAAGATGAAATAAAGTATTCAGTTTCAATTTAAACAAATCTAAGTATTGTTTAGATTAGTGAAATTTAGGAAATATTCCATTATACTGCACTTGTCTGATAGATAAAATTAATGTAAAAAATACGGAGTAGCTAATACGGCAGTTCGTATACAGTGCATCCGGATGTACGTACACCCGGCCCAAGTAAGAAAGACGGCTCAACCACTAATACAGGCCAAAACAAATCGGTGGCATATTTGTAATTTAAGCGAAAATTCACGGCTTCCGCTAAATGAGCAATATTGTACGTTTAATGAACATCCAACCTATTTTATTGAGTATTACGAGGCTAACAATGAGTAACACGATATCAACTTCGTATCTTCTAATTTTTGTTCTTTTTATTATTTTTTCTTTTATAAAAACTTATTAAATTATATCTATAATACACTCTTATGAATTTCAATATGTGAATTTAGTGTAATATGATACTTTTGAAATATGCATTGATATGACATTTTAAAATGAGCATAACATCAATACAAAATGAGCATATGTAACTTACAAAATGTTAATTGATATGAAAATCGTAAAGTTTGTTAGTTTGACATAACGACATTTTCAATGAGCATCAAACCTTCTCTCTTGAAATAAAAATCACAGTTTCTGTTAAATGAGCATTAATGAACTTTTAATGTGCATCAAACTTATTATGAGTATTAAAACACTTTCAATGAGCATCACACTTATTCAGTTGAGTATTAGGAACCACTTACAAAAGGAGTATCGAAAAATCCAAAATGTCATTTGAAATTGCTAATGTGCTCAAATCCTTATTTGTCTATACTCATTTCGTTTAAACATTATGCTCATTTGGCACGTGAGAGCGATGTGGCAAGGGTTGGATTGATTTGTCAGGTCAATCTCAGTGGAATGTAGTCTATATAGAGCATTAACGTTGTCCTATAGAATCTCTGCAACACCAGACATGGAGGAAACGCAACGAACTTCTCGGAGAATATGACTGGTGCTCGTTGGGGTGATCTTTTCCGTTGGGATTACTGCTGAAAACATTTAAAAAATGAGCATAACAGAGATACTAAATGAACATATATAATTTACAAAATGAATATTCAAAAATTCAAAAGTTCATTTGTGTATGTTCATTTCTTAGGCATTTTACTTATTTGAGTTTAAGGTAAAACTCATTTCTAATGTGCTTGGTATAATATATGAAAAAGAGAAAGAAGTAAACAACAAATAAAGAAAGGAAAAGAAGTAAAAAAAAGACAAAACAAAAACAAAAGAAAGTAAAAACAAATGGCTAGCAGTAAAAGTAAATAAAAAAATAAAAAAAAGAAAACTAAAAGGTACGGAGTAACAATCAGAACGGCGGAAGAAAAGAAAGAAACGAGGATGTTGGGGAAGAAAAGAAAAAAAATGAGGATGCGGCGGAAGAAAAGAAAGAAATGAGGAAAAAGAAGACCCTGCGAAAGAAAAAAGAGGATGGAGGGAAGATGATGCCTACAGAAGAGGAAAGAGGGTAGAGCGAATGCTGATTCAGAAGCTTGAAGTTGGTATATTTACAAAAATACCGGGTGTACAGTTACACCCGATGTACGATATAATTTGCACTAATACAGAGTATAAAAAATAGTCCTCACCTATTGATGCAATACGCAATTTAATCCTAAATTATTAATTTGATTAGTTTTAGTTCTCAACTTTCACTTTTCTACCAAATTTAATCCCCCTTTAATCCTCCTTTAATTCTCCTTTAATTTCATCTGTACTTTCTCCGTCAATACAATTATACAACTATACAAGCTTTGACCAATCATATACCACAAGAGGTCATTTTTATAGTCACAATCAGGAGAATCTCAATTAAATGGAAAGATAAAAGTTACTCATTCTCAAATAATTTCAGCTCTCACTATTGCTAGAGTCATTTCAAGATGCAAGTAGGTTAAATGAAAGTAAAAAGTGATGGATAATGCCTTTGAATGACCTTATAAATGAATTGGTTTGTACGATAGTATTTGATTTGATAGAACATGCAAAAAATTAATGAAGAATTATACTCCGTACTTGATAAAGAAGTGAGCAAGGTCAAAGACCAAAACTAACACTCCATCCCTGAGGGCCCCCCAACTCCGACCGGATGATACGTTGGGAGGATGTAAGTTGGACTATAATCTCAATCCGACAGATAGAGAGTGAGACTCTGTCCCCGGTACTTGCAGAGGCTCTATGCATTTTTAGCATAGTAATCCCTCATCGCAGTTGCCGGGATTCGAATCCGGGACCTAACCTTTGTGGCACTCCCTTCCTACCAGTTGAGTTACGCCCACCGGTAAGACCAAAACTAACCAAATTAATAGAGTAGGACTAAATTGAGTATTCCCTCTAGATTTTTCCTTAAAAATTACTAATAAAAATGTAATGTTCAAAAATGTGACTTAATAACTATTAGTAACTATAATTGTATTCAATGTTTACATCACAGTAACATACATTTAATTACTACGATGTAGATTTCAACACAATTGTAGCCACTAATAGTTAATAAGTACTTCGTAATATTTTTTTCCATCAAATTTTAAAGAATACATTTATGGAATTTTTTCTTTCATCAATTGTAGAAGACTCTTTCTTTCCATCATTTGCAATGGAGCCAAAGATTCATTATTTTTTGGCTTGAGATTATGATGGAATAAAACAAAATGACTCACTAAACTGTCTGCGCTTTTTTGTTACGAAGCAACGGTCAGTCCATGCAATTTTGGACGGGATTTTCACTATGGGTCATTCGGAAATAGTCTCTTTGTGCTTTAGTACATGGGTAAGACTGCGTACATCCGACCCTCCTTACCCCACCTGAGAGCCTTTGAGGCATGGGGTAAATGAAAATGAAATGAACTCTAGAAGACTGTCCATGGCATTAACTCCTATATAAATGTAAATATGGATGCGAGCCTCCCAAAAAAAAACATAATGTCTCATGAGGCATGAAAGAGAGGCATTGGAAATGGATCTTAGCATAAAAAAGGTCGTTTTACCACTTTACATTTTCACTTTTTCGAAGATCTGGGTGGATGATCTACATTTCGATCAAGAGAATCAGCAGATAAATGAGAAAAAATTGAATGGATGTGCATAAAAATAGTAAACTCAAGCTAAATGGGTAAATTAAAGGTAAAATATAATGTAAAATTACTAGAATTAGAAGAACAAAATCATTCGTAGTTGTCAGGGCTGTTCAGCTGATCTGAATCCAAGAACAAAATATTAGATCTCTCATGTCATTAGTTCGAATTCGCAGGGGTCAGTGAAGATTTAACTAGTCATTAATTTCCAGAACTAATGTGGCTAATTATTACGTAGTATAACTATAAGAACGCTAGAAGAACTATTGAACTATTAGTGGTATACAAAAACACATCTTAGTATATTTTAGATTATCTGAAAGAATCTGACATGGTTTTATCCATTAAGATCACAGCAGCTTCTGAAGAAGGCCTACTAAGAGAATCACATTCTTTCTCACCTCTAAACTCCCCTCCATGATAAACCTCCTCCAATTTTTCCAACACTTCATCCATGCTAGGCCTCATTTCATTCTCAGCTTGCAAACACTGAAATGCCAACTCCGCCACGGCAATCATCATTTCAATTACCTTAGTACCATCATTCCCAGTCCCAACAAGCGATGGATCGACCAACCCCCGTAAATCACGGCTTAACATCTTCGTCATGGCAAAACTTGCCAAATTCACCTCATGCTTCTGCCTACTTATATCAATAGCCGGCAATGATGATATGAGCTCTATAAGCACCACCCCGAAGCTATAAACGTCACTCCTTTCATTTAGACGGTAACATTCGTGGTATTCCGGGTCAACGTATCCCGGCGTTCCCTGAGGCGCCGTGGATATATGGGTGGCGTCACCGGGTAAAAGCCGGGATAGGCCGAAATCGGCAAGTTTGACCCGGAAATCGCCATCGAGGAGAATGTTTGTGGTCTTCACGTCTCGGTGAATGGTGTCGCAAGCGTGAAGGTACGACAATGCCCCTGCTGTCTCGACGGCGATTCTCATCCGTATCGGCCACGTCAGCAGCCGTTCCTTTGCTCTTTCACCGTGGAGGTGGTCGGAAACAGTCCCGTTGGGGACGAACTGGTAGACGAGAAGCGCGTGGGAATGAGTCGATGTGCATCCGTAGAGCGTGATGAGATTGGGGTGCCTTAGGCGGCTGAGAATTTCAACCTCGTTAAAGAAGAGGCATATGTTCTTGCGGGACAAATCGTATAGACGCTTCACTGCAACTTCTCTCCCATCTCTAAGCTTTCCTGGTTTGATGGTAATATACATTAATCAATTAAACACATAGAGAAGCTCGCTATACAAAACTAGGTAGCTTAGAGTTAAATAAATCAAATAAGACTGAATTTACGCGAATCAATCCGATCAGCATATGATTTTTTTTAGTGCAAAACCATAGTATACCAAATCAGATCAGATCACATTCGACAATTATAAAAAACACATAAAATAGACATTACAAACCATGTCAGTTCAGATCAGATCAAATCATAGCAAATCAGATAAGATCATGCTAGATCAGAATCGAAAATTTCAGTCTAATTAAAAAAATATAATGTAATTGAAACACATAAGTTCGATATAAGGCTAAAATCACTGAAATTCATAATAAAGCTCCTAAAAAGCCTAAAAACACTCCCTCAATGTATAGTTTTGAGTTGACAAAATTCATAATAAAGCTGTTGAAAGCCTGAAACATAAAAGTTAATAATAAATTTTATAAGAATAAAGTGAAATAATATGAATCACATATTTTTATCAAAGGAAAAATAATACATTTGTTTTGAGACGGTCCAAAAGGAAATCAAAGGAATACCTCAAGTGGAGATACAATCAAGATAATACTATTATCCGTTTTTTAGTTGTAACATGTTGAATTTTACAATATTCACATGTTTCACCTTGACTACATTTTACGAAGTACTCCCTACATCCCTTAAAATTTTGCCAAGTTTGACCGACACGGGGATTAATAAAGTAAAAACTGTGTGATTGAAGTTTTACTATAAGAGAATAAGATATATTAACAGGCAAAGATGTATTTCGTCAGATATGCAAAATGAACGTTGCAACTAAAAAGAACAAATGCAACCTCACCACAACTTTTTTTTGAGAGAGGTAGACAAGTACTTACCATAGTAGACAGCTCCAAAAGCTCCATCACCAATTTCTCTACCAACATGGAAATTATTAGTGGCTTCTTCAAGTTCCAAGTAAGAGAACATAGGAGCTCCAAAGTAATTGCTTTGTAACTCGTGGCTCCGGTCTATGATGCAACCATTTGAAGACGCGTTTCTCCATAAATTACGCCACAAGCACATTGTGTGTGTTCTGAGAAAATAGATTGTGAGGCCAGCCATGATGGTGAGGATGAATCCAACTGAAACTGATTCATCAACGCAATTTCCAGTTTATTATTATTAATAATAATAATATTAATATTAATAATAATAATAATAATAATAATAATCAACAGGATTTAAAAAGTTGAGATAAAGAAAAGGGACATTAATAAAAATGATTTTTCTGAAAACACACTATAGTATAGGGGAGGGTTCAAATACAAAGAGGTCTTCTCAGGCAAAGTGAGAATTAATCTTGTGCATTTGTTTTCAGATCTAATGGCTCAAAATAAGCCAAAAATGCTGCACTAAACTTGATAAAAAACGAGGTGACAATTTTGAAAATAGATCGAAGTTTTCTGGCACCGCGAAAAAGTGCAACATGAACATGAAATAATGCAACGCAATGAGGAAAAAGTGCAATCGTTCACACTTTGTACGGGAGCATCTCTTTTGATTTGAACTCTTCCCCTATATTATATTGTCTATAAGATGCAGTATTTTCAGCAGAATAATACTTCCTCCATCCTGCAATGAACTTCACATTTTCCTTTTTTGGATGTCCCATAAATAATTCCCATTTCCTTAAATGACAAGTTAATCTACATCAAAACAGTGTCAAACAGTGCAAAACAGTGTCGAAACAGTGCCAAACAGTGTTGAAACAACATCAAAACAGTAAAATTTACCCCATGGTAAATTTATTTCCTTAATATGTGTGTAGGTCAAACTATGAAGTTCATTGTGAGATGCGGGAAGTACTTCTGTTTTTTGTGCAGTGTGTGTTGTATTTATCCAAACTCACACGAAATTGTTCCTGTTAAAATGGATGACCGGAGCAATTTGCTAATAACGAGTACGGAGAAGTGGAGAACAACCATTATGTTTTCATGGATAATGAGTCGAGAAGGTTAGTGCGTAGTATGATTATGGATATTTTAATTGAATCCAAAATTTCTAGTATGGTCTAATTTGTTTAAGTGTGAACCGGTTGGATCCGGTAGATGTACGATTTATACATATTTTTTTAACTGTCGAAATCTAATTTGGTATGTAGTCTACTTTAATCCGGGACTGGATAAGTTTAAGTAAAAACATCCTATATACTTCGTATGTGATCTTTCTTCTTCCCCTACAAAAAAGCAACACTTGTATTTAAATAAATCATGTGTTTTTACTCCTACTTACAATGATTTCCTTAAACTAAAACAAAGAACAACAGTTAATAAATTTGTCTTTTGACTATAATTTTCTATATTGGTCGGATATGATCTGATTTGTTTAAGTTTGGTCTTATAGATGTCTTCTTTGTGTGTATTTTGTAACTGTCAAAGTCTAGAATGATTTAAACTAGTCTAGTCTAATATGCTTAAGTCTGATCTAATCTGACAGATTGACAGTGAAATCGATACAATTAAAAATATTCAAAGTGATTAGAGCTTGCAATGAGGTTAATGATACAAAGAGAGAATGTTATCCAAGATGAAATAGCTGATTTCAGCTGGGTTTACCTGCAAGTATTACTAATTTTAAGAGGGCGGAAGAAGGCGATTTCAACACAGGAGAAGATGAGTTCGAGCGAGAGGGAGAGTGTGACGGCTCTGAAGGAGAGGCTGAGGCTGAAGCAGGGAGGTCATTGTTATCCCCATCACTAGAAACAGAGCAATTGAATGTGTTCGTTTTCGGGTCAGTCAAACATTGTCCTTTAAGCCCATAGTGACACTCGTTACAACTTTCAGTTAGTGACCAACTCATGAAGAACTCAGATGACAGCAGATGGAATAAGTCACTGTCATTTGTTTCATTATCTGTGAGTGGCAATCGAATGACAGAACAATGGTGAGGAAGAATGCTGCTAGGTGAATTTCCACCTGATTATACATAAGTAACATAACACACCCAATTATAAGTAATAAAGATTAGGATCATCTCATAAAAGTGACTTTATAAACCATCAATTATATAGCCTCCCACTTGGCTTTGTCATGTCACTATGGTTTTAATTAATTAGGAATAATGTTTTTAATTAGATTAGTTCAATACTCAGACCAAACTACATATAAACATTTTTAACATTCACTATGGTTTAAAATAGCAAACATAGCTTAAGTTGTGATTTGTAATTTTATACGTAATAATTGTTTTCTTGAATAACTTAAAGTGATAAGACGATTTCCAATCGACGTATGAATACAGAGACAAGTTCAACAATAACACATGATTTATTTAATTAGTCATGTTTTCAACTTGCATTACCAATTATATTTGAAGGTTTTTGGTAGAATCAGAATCTGTTTTTCAGAAGTTGGTTTTCATATCTTCATAAAGAATACTATGAGGAATTTCAAACACTTAAAAGACTTCTACACATTCACCTAAATAGACAAATATCCCCTATTTGCTTTTTTAGAAAACAGAAATAATTTTAAGTAGATCCAAACACTCTTCCTATTTATACCTCTCCTATTTAAGTAGATCCAAACACTCTTCGAAACACTCGCGACTTACCCAACTTTTTGACGCATTTGTTCTTTTACATTCGGCTTCCAAAATTAATCCCAGTAAAAGCTTTTAGAGCATATATAGGGTTTGGAATCTTTGAAAATGTTTTCAAAATGGATCATTTTTATTCAAATTGCTTCCGACTAAAAAGGTTTTCCACTTCATAAGTTATTTCAAAATTTAAATAGAGCCTTATTATTTGAGTTTGATAATAATACTGGTATTGAATCATGAATGCCGCAAAATCAGATGTAGCATGCGTATATTACTGTTCCAAAAGGTGGAATCTCCCACCCGATGAGCCCCACACCCCGACCCGACAGAATGATGGAGGAGTAAGTCATAGACATAGTGACTCAGTCGGTTCAATGGTGGTATGTCTTATACCCGTGCGCACCACAGGTCCAGTCCACCACGCAGGAGTCGTAACCTCCACACGATCGTTGCGACCTGCGAGTTTCGATCCTTGATCATTGTTCCAAATTTCCCACCACTGTACCAACTGAGCTACCCGTGCCGATGCATGCGTATATTACTAAACTACATAATGTGGTTATAAGTTAAACTTTCTATTTTTGCCTTGACAATCAATTGCGCCAATATATCAGCTTGATTAAGTTTGTGTTTGGTATAAAAAATACTCTCTCCGTCCCGCTAACAATGGGACAAGCGGGAGTGACACACAAATTAATAAAAAGTGGTTTATGTGGTTGATATTGAATTGATAAAGTAAGAATAAAGTAAAAATGATTTAGAGTCATACAAACTTTAACAAATTTGATATGAGACAATCTTAGTCAGACGGACCGATAAGGTAAAATGAGACAATCATAGCGGGACGGAGGTAGTACTACGTATAAGCGCATACTATTCAAAATAAGGAAAGTTCAAAAATTAAAACGAAATCATGTTTGACTGTTATTATTTAAATCATATGCTTAATATAATTTATAATAACTATATTTCGATAATATTTGATATGTATTAGTAAAGAATTATTCAGAACATTTGAAGTTATAGATTAATATAATCCCTAAATAGAAATAATTACATCTCCCTCCATCCCAATTTACTTAGCCATTTTTGACTTTTCCAGTCAAAGATGGTAAACTTTGACCAATTATTTAAACTAATATATTTATGCAAAATTTAATAATTTTATACTTTTATGATAGTATTTTTAACAAAGAACATTTTCAAATCACTTTCATATTATTAATACTTTCTCTATATAAACATATAATCGGTCAAAGTTAGACTCCATTGACTTGAAAAGTCAAGAGTGGCTAAGTAAAATGGGATCCGTCACTGTTCCGGCCCGGTGGATACGTATGGGTGGACTCGGGCCGGGTGGCCCGACCCGGGACCGGCACTGTTCCGGCCCGGACCGGCCCGAACCGGTGGCCCGGTCAGTGACCGGTCCGGGTAGGCCCGACCCGACGGGTTTCCGGTCCGGGCTTGGGTCACCCAAAACAAGGTCCGGCCCGGCCCGGACCGGATCCGGTGGCTACCCGAGCCGGGACCGAATCCGGTGGCTACCCGGGCCGGTCCCGGGTCCACCTATTCAGACCCGTCGACCCGCCCGGGCCTAGGCCCGACCCGGACCCGGACCCGGCCCGAATCCACCCCTAGGATGGAGGGAGTATTTATGATTAAAATAAAATTATTTACAAAATTGTGACTTCCAAAGTGTAATGACTATAATTGCAACTTTAATTACAATTTATATTCAATTTTCGTACTTAATTGACCATGACATTATATTATATTGCGTAGTAACTTTTAGTCATATTTTCAAAATTAAATTTCATTTCAGTATTTAAAAAAAATTATAAATAATTAGCGGTCAAAGTTGATAAATTTTGACTTTACTAGTCAAATCGGGACTGAATTATAGGAGGAAAGTAGTAATATACGGAGTATTACTAGTATATTTGTGCAGAAAACAATCCAATGTTTTGTTGAAAACAGAGTGTATTCACACAAAAGAAAAAATTGATCTTTTTAGGTCCCACAAAGCCATGTTTTCTAACTAAAACAATGATACCCAATTTATAGAGATGACTCATTGACTTACTCATATTTGTTCTGATTTCTTATCAAGAATATTAAACTAGACACAAAATTTGTTCAATAAGAATAACAATATAAATAATCACCTTGATCTTGAGAGGACCCTCCACTGGTATATGGATTTCTGTAAAACACACTAAATCCTTCACAGCCATCATACTTCTCATAACTCTGGAACTGATGATCAACCTTCATCTTCCTTCTGCATCTGTATAATATGATGATGGGACTGACTCTATATACAATGGAAGGAGAATTCATGAAAGTGATATTCCTGTAGAGAAAGCTGCAGCTTCTTTCCTTCAAAGAAGTGGACAGGTACATGTCTGAAAGCTTCAAAAAAGGATAATCCATTCCTAAAACATCATATGTTTCACTTCCAAATTCAAGTTTCGGGTTCGGTTTGGCGTCGCAATCCACGGTTAGCAGCCCGCACCCCGCGGGCCCCGATGATCGGCTTAATGGGAACCATGTGCTGTTGAGGCTTCCACAGGAGAAGGACTCTGGGCAATGATCGGATTCTATGGCGTTTAGGGCTTTGGATGGAGGAATGAACAATACCTGATAGATGAAAAATAAAGTGGGAAGGAAAGAAATAGTCATGTGTTACAACATTTAAGTATTATCTCTCTCCCAAACCTAATTAAAAGTTGAGCTAATGCTTTGTTGTCGTATCTTTCCATTCTTTTTATTATGAGAAAGACTTGGAAAAAGGTGGAAGCTAGGCCCCATAATATTATTTCAAAACCAGTTTCAAAACCAGTTTAAGGAACCTAACTATCGGGCCTGTCCATTTCTGGGTCTATGGACGATACGCTATTTTGGACTTATATTAATGACAAACAGTAAACCATATACTTCTTTCAAATATGAATTATAATAAAAGTATCCAATGAAGTTCATAAAATAAACACGAGAATCACTTTATTATTATTTAAGTTTCATATTTGGGCAAAAGTAACAACACGTGTATCGAATAAAAAAAATACTCACTCCGTCCGACTGGACTTTGCTAACTTTCTTTTTTTGTTTGTCCCAAAAAACTTTGTCATTTTCCTTTTAAAGCAATGTTTTGTGCCTCTGTTCATTTCTCTCTCCTCTGCACAAACCTCACACACAAATCTTACTATTCTAATTTTCCACCTAACATTAACTTGGCAAAGTTGAGTGGGACAGAGGTAATATTACTTAAAGACGTTTCTCGTAGAACAATGTGAAACAAATCATTAATAATCGCTTCATAGACAATCTTCTTTCCACTAAAAATTATGACAAACAATAAAATTGTCACATATAACAACACTAAATTTTCTTTTGAAAGCATAAATGAAAATAAATATTACTCCGTACTACATATTGCATTCATAAGTTGAGAATAATTTATTGTCCGCTGATGAGAGTCTAAAGTTTGAAATCTCGAAGGAATGAAGATTTTCAAAAAGACAAAATGTTTGGCTGCCAAGAGGACTCACGCAAGAAGACTGCAAATTTGACGTCCTCTAAAACTACTATTAGAAACTCAGATATAGCTTTTTGAATTTTGGAAACAAATGAATAATTGGGGTGAGATTTGAGAGACACAAGCTCTAAAATAATTATATAAATTTGTTATGTTATAATTAAATTGAATAAAAAATCTTAAATCCTTAAAGGCTAAAAAGATGTGACGACTGGAGAGACGCGACTTTTATTTATGCACCAACAATTGTATTGCTTTTAAAAACTACAACCGACCCTACTAAACACTAATGTATATATTCTTATTTAAAGTTGACTCTGTTTAAGACTCTTTATTTATGTTTTAAATTTTCAAATTGTCAACAAAATTAAACATTAGGCCTAATTCATTGAACTTAAGAATAAAAAAAGAAGTCTACTCACACTATATATAAAGAAAAAAATTGGGCCTGTTTTTTCTTCTATTTTTTTCGGGCCTAGGGCGGTCGCCCCTCTCGTTCCCCCCAGAACCAGCCTTGGGAAAAAGTAACAACACGGGTATCGAATAAAAAAAATTACTTAAAAACGTTTCTCGTAGAACAATGTGAAGCAAATCATCAATAATCGCTTCATAGACAACCTTCTTTTCACTAAGAATATGACAAATAATAAAATTGCCACATATAACAACACTAAACTTTCTTTTGAAATGATAAATGAAAAGAAATATTACCACATATTGAATTCATAAGTTGAGAATGATTTATTGTCCGCTGATGAGAGTCTAAAGTCTGAAGTCTCGAAAGAATGAAGATTTTCAAAGAGACAAAATATTTGGCTGCCAAGAGGACTCACGCAAGAAGACTGCAAATTTGACGTCCTCTAAAACTACTATTAGAAACTCAGATATAGCTTATTAAAATTTGAAAAGAAATGAATAATTGTGGTGAGATTTGAGAGACATATACTCTAAAATAATTATATAAATTTGTTATGTTACAATTAAATTGAATAAAAACCTTAAAGGCTAAAGAGATGTGAGGACCGGAGAGACGCGTCTTTTATATATGCAGCAACAATTGTATTGCTTTTAAAAACTACAATCGATCCTACTAAAACCTAATGTATATATTCTTTTTTAAACTTGGCTCTGTTTAACACTCTTTATTTATGTTTTAAATTTTCAAATTGTCAACAAAATTAAACATTAGGCCTAATTAATTGAACTTAAGAATAAAAAAAGAAGCATACTCACACTATATATAAAGAAAAAAATAGACCTATTTTTCTTCTATTTTTCAGGCCTAGGGCGGTAGCCCCTCTTGCCCCCTTCTCAGAACCGGCCCTGCTAACTATTCTAGAGCATAACCTTGTAAATTGTAAAATATGAGGACAAAACGCCCTTTGCTATTCTAGACTTACATAAAAATTACTACCTCCGTCCCTTAAAACTTTGCCAAAGTTGACCGGCACAGAGAATAATAAAGTAAAAACTGTGTGGTTGAGATTTGTGCAGAGGAGAGAGAAATAACAAAAACCACAAAATAATTGATTAAAAGGGAAAGTGACAAAGTTTTTTGGGACGTCCCAAAAAGGAAATATGGCAAAGTTTTAAGGGACGGAGGGAGTACAATTATAGCAGTACGCGTGTATAAGTTATTTTTGGGTAAATGCTTTGGAATTTCAAAACAAGAATACTATGGATGTTTTTACTTGGATTGTAATTCGTCCCAGACCAGACCAGACCAGTTCAGACCAGACCAGACCAGACCAGACTTGGATAGTTATAAAAATACAAAGAAACCAGACCAGACCAGTTCAGACCAGACCAGACCAGACCAGATCAGACCAGACCAGACCAGCAAATTACAGTCCAAGTAAAAACATCCTATGTCTTATTCTCTACAGTCCAAGCAAATTAACAGCAAATTACTGTTAATATTGAAATATAGTGACATGAATAAATCCTGGTAATAGCAAATTTAATAATCATAGTCAACTAAGTGTTACATACGGAGTATAACATTCCCCCCTATTCAGATGGATAACTTAGAGTGAATTTAGTTCTGATTCTTAAAACTGTTTCTGCTCTTTCAGGAAATAGAAGCAGAAGTTGGAGTGTTTAGGTGAGAGTGCAAAAGTACTTCTGGTGCTAAGTTACTCCTAGAAGCAGTTTTTTTTAGAAGCTGGGGGAGACCAGTTTATGAAAACTGATTCTGATTCTGCTTCTGCTTCTGCTTTAAAAAAGAAGCAGAAACAGAATCAGTTCCAAACACTCTCTTAGTATTCCCTCTGTGTGCTAAGACTCTCATCTTTTCTTTTCAATTCGTCCTATTAAAATTGTCTGATATCAAATTTAATAAACTTAATGTTGTTCTAAATCATTCATATTTTATTCTTACTCTATCAATTCAAGGAAAATACTTAGTGTACATGAGTTGTACACAAACTGTACACAAACCCCCCCTTGTTGGCTTGTGTACACAAGCAATTCATTTAGAAAAGGGCAGAATTTGATACCCAATTGCCTGTGTACACAAGCAATGTACACGTTTTGTGTACATCTTTTGTACACCAAACATGACCCATCAATTCAATACCAATAAAATAAATCCAGTTTTCTTAATTATGTTTGGTTCAGATTTTATCTTTATTGCAGTGCCACAGTGGAGCAATATTCTTCACACCTTTTTTTTCACTACCTATTTGGGGAAGCTATCGTAGTTGACTTGGGAAAAGTCATCTTTTATGGGAATAAATGGGGCAAACCTCCTTCCAGGACAATTCGATAGTGGTCACTGGTCAGGCACAACCGACATTTGACTAGAAAAGATGTCTGGACAAAATATGGCTGAAACTATAAAAGGATCATGACTTCTTGACTTCACATATACATATGTCTTCTCTTTTTACCGACCAATGCTCTCTATTTAGGGTTGTTTATTACTACTATACATTTATACTGTACGGCCCGTGAATCAAATGTAAGGCGCGTGCCTCACAATCAGGCGCACGGCACTTTTGTGGTCCAGTTGCTTAAGAGGGGAAATCCCACCTACGTACCTTCCGTGTACAAGACATCAAATTTGGGGGAAGTGAGCGGGGACGCGAAGGATGTCTTGTTCTCTATGATTCGTCCTATTTTTATGGAGTAGTTCAACCGTTGAAAATACAGAGATCACATGAAAGTAGCAGCTCCGTGTAGGAGGAACAACCTAAAGAGAACAGATGATGTAAGTCTTGTCATTTAGATCGGATACTGACGAAGTTGATTGTGATGAAATTCAGATTTATCCGTCTAGAGAATTTGGAGGGTAGGTAATAGACCAAAAGTCTATGTTAAATGAATACGGATACGCCGATAGTCCGATACACAAATACGGGTACGACGATACGACAAATTCAAAAATTACAGTATACATGTACGCGGGTATATTTATAAATAATATTTATATAGGGTATTATTTGCAAATATATAATTCAGAGGTTCATAAATAAGTAGTATAATAATAGTACCGAAAATTAACAATTATAATAAGAAGCATTTTTCATAAATAAGGAGTAGAATTAACAAATAAGCAATTCGTATAAGAGTGGTTTATTTATATACTTGAACCTTGTGGTACAAAAGGAACACAGTAGGCTGTAGAGCAAGCACATTAATAATAACAATTAATTAATGCCTTCAACAATTTTCAATCACTAACTGCTTGTTCCACTGCTATACACTATATTTACTACTACCCCACTTTTGCATCACAGAATCTGGAGAAATCGGAACTTTCTGCAGCATAACACGACCCGAATCCGTAGAACTTCGAGTAATATCTGCACTCTTATCCACATTTGAAGCCTCAATGTTATGACCTTGAATCTCCACTAACCTGAGCAACACTTCCTGCATTCCAGGCCTCAACTCCTTGTCCAGCTGCAGACACTGGAAACCCAACTCAGCTACTGAACTTGTCATCCTCTTCACCACTTCATCCGATTCAAATCCTAACGATTCATCCACCAACCTGTTCATTTCCCCTCTCAACATTCGTTTCATCGCCAAGTCCGATAAGTTGATCTCATCCTTACCCCTATCCACATCCACTGCTGGCATTGATGATATGAGCTCAATGAGAACAACTCCGAAGCTATACACATCGCTTTTATCTGTGAGATGATAACACTTGTGGTACTCGGGGTCAACGTACCCTGGGGTGCCCTGAGGCCCAGTTGAGACATGTGTGACGTCATTCGGGAAGAGTCTTGAAAGCCCGAAATCTGCGACTTTGACAGAGAAGTTGTGGGTCAGGAGGATGTTGGCAGTCTTGATGTCACGGTGGATTATGTCAGAAGCGTGTAGGTAGGCTAAGGCTCTCGCGGTTTCAACTGCGATGTTCATCCGGATTGGCCACTTTAGGGGAGGGTCTCCATTTGATATCATCCTGCCGTGGAGGTGGTCTGAAAGCGTTCCATTGGGGATGTACTCGTAGACCAAGAGGAGCTCTCGGCTGTGCTTGGATGTGCATCCGTATAGGGTGACGAGGTTTGGGTGCCGGATGCCAGCAAGGATTTGAATTTCATTTATGAATTGCTCCTTCCTCTTGCGATTCTGCTGGTAAAGATACTTCACCGCAACCTCTCTTCCATCCTGTAGCTTTCCTGCATCACAGAAGAACATCCATGCTATTAATGATCACCTCCGATCTCTATTCAGAACATCCTTGCCTAATAGTGCCCTGAAAATTGCTGGGTAGGTGATCAACTCGAGAGTTAATACCAAATCTAGAGAGAATTTGGTAGGCATTAATACTAAATTAGACAAAACTCACTTAATGAGGACACAAAAAATGTCATTTACCTTATGCATACACACACACACACCGTATAATGTGTGTGTTATATTAAATAATTAGTACGAAGTAGTAAACATGGTACTTTCTCATATGTTGGGCAAAGATCTCTCAAACATATACAAAGTATATTAGTACGGAGTAACAACTATGGTAAACGTTCTCATATATTGGTAACAGATCTCTTAAACATGTGATGTAGAACGTTCAATACACTCCTCAATCCATACTGGGCTAGACAATTTAAGAAATGATAAACAGGCCGAACTGACCCCAGCTACAAATTGCCAAATAAAGGAAAAACCTAAACCAGACCACACTATACTGTATCAAATCAGTCATAACGCACCTCAAAAGATTCTCATTTGCGAATTTAGTCACAGTTTTTTTTTATTATTATTTTTAACTCCAGGGGGCGTCTGGGGGAGGGGGCCTGGAGGGAGCCTGGAGTAATCTAGCCTGAAACTCACTCCATTGAGTTTAGAACCCGAGACCTCCCGTAAGGGAGAGCGAGTCGGCGACCAGCTGGGCTGAACCGCTTCCTCATTTAGTCACAGTTTTTTGTGGAAGAAGAGCTATATGCACAAATTTGAAATAGAGCTAGTCAGTTATTTGTAGAGGAGAGCTTTCTTACCATAGTAAACAGTCCCAAAGCCTCCATCTCCAAGTTCTCTAGACGAAGCGAAATGATCAGTAGCCTTGTCAAGCTCCTTTTGGGTGAAGATGGGAACTCCATAGTCCTTACTAATTTCCCCCTTTGATGACTTGCTTCTTGAAATAGCATACAAAGAATTGCGACGCTTTCTTTTGTAAATCACTACAACCAATATTATGCCTAAGAGTACACCCACAGCCAATGCAACTCCACCTAAAACAGGCACCAATATAAGGCACTATTGAACTAATCAACAAAGACAACATTTTTGGATAACTACAAGAGATGTGAGGAGAACTGCAAAGTAGTTATATGATAACTCAGAAGTGTACCTGCTTCAAGCAGTAGATCATGATCTGCTTTCCCTGCACCTAAATTCAAAGGGAAAATCAGGCAATTAGTGAAATATTTAGGCAAGCAACCATTCTAGGATCCAATATGGAAAATTTGCAAAGCAACGTAAAAATCATATATTCATATTAAATTATTATGGAATAAAAAACTGTATTGATTGTGTTTTTAACTTAGTTGAGAACAAGTACATACGAGTTTATGTAAGACATTTGATACAGTATATATGATTGTACAACATGTTAAAAAGAGGAATAACTTGGTCCAAAAGGCGGAATCTCCCACCCCAGGAGCCCCCCACCCCGACCCGACAGGATGGTGGGGAGGTTAATCACGGTGACTCAGTCACCAAAGCGGCGGTAGGCCTTATACACGTGCGCACCAGAGGTCCAGCCTTATTTCAGGTTCTGTAACCTCCACACGGCCGTTGCGTGTTTCGAACCTTGTTCACTTGGTCCAATTTTCCCATCACTCGACCTACTGAGCTACCCGTGCGGGTAAAAAAAAAACCCACCAACCTTAAATAATTCCTGCAAGGCTCTGTCCTTGGGCAAGTGGGTTATCTCTTGATTAGGTCTCACCTAACCCTTATTAATCCGTAACTAGGCACTAGCTTCAAATTGGTCTCTTAACTAGCCCAGTAATTTTTTATTTTATGCTAGGCCTGTTAAATTCCACTAGAGCTACTACCCCTATTAAACTATGACTGGGCGATCATCCCGTTAGATGCCTACTCAGTGCTCTAAAAGGCGCTAGGCAACATCTCCACGGTAAGTCGGGCTTTAGCAACTACATGGCCTTAGGTAGTATAGTCAAGCCTACTAAGTAAGGCCAATATAAGAAAACATCACATGAGAGTTTTGATGAAGTGGTGCCGGGACCTATTGATAGAGCCGTGATTGGGACCATGGAAAATAACACATTTTGGCATGTACCTTTGGAGCAATGATACCTATGGGTTTGATCAACAACGCATAAACCTCCTCTGTCATGACACTCAATACAATCTTCAGACAAACTCCATTCCAACAAAAAGGTTGCATTTACCAAACCAAACGGGCCTTCTCCATTGGGCATAACCTCCGAGCTCAATGGGATTGGCAGCTGAATCCGCGAACATCCAGCCTGATCAAATTCGTGATCTGCAATGTACCCAAAGTCTTGATCCCCGTACGGCTTCTTATAGAACACTACAAAACCGCCTGTCTCAAAGCTGCTACATTTATCATACCTCAGGAAATCATGGAAATGGCCATTAATACTCTCGTTCTGGCCACTGTCCTGTTAAATAATAATAAAAATAACCAATGTAGTCCTAATTATGGATTTGGATAAACTAGTTAAAATAATTCATTTATATAAATTTATATAAAACAAATTTCATATGGAAAGAGAAAATGACAGAGCTTGGATGTTCTGTCATTGCATAGCTAGGTTCTCATTATTACATAGACGAAATACAATATAGATATAAGAAATAATAAGGGAGAATCCCAATTTCCATAAGGTCTGCTATGTACTTGGAAGAAACTTACAGAAGGTGTGTATCCTAAGGAAGTATACTACTCCCTACACGAACCATCAAGATAATTCAACTTCTATTTTGAACATATCATTAATGAATCATTTTCATATACACCCAAAATTAATATATCTAGATATTACATTGATATACTTCATATTACCTTACCAAGTACCAACATACAGTACTTAATATAATCCAACCACATATATTAAATACTTAAAAGTTTAAATATTTTAATCATTATTGATTGAATCATGTGCATAAATATAAGGAATGAAATTCAAAATGACCCCTGTAATGATACTGCAGAGCAAAAATATGACTAAATGACCACTGTCAGCACTATCACTGCAGTCACTGCATTGCTGAAATATGTTTACTATGCATTGAGAAAGGCATATTTTTGCACTTCATTTTGGTATTTTATTTTTCATTTTTTCTAAAAATAATAGACTATCGCATAGAAAATAAAACACATAACTAGCCAAATATGCACAACTTAAAAGTATAAAAAGTAAATAAGAATATATAAATAAATAATGAATATATAATTAAATAGCTAAGTGTGTGTAGACACACACACACACACACACACACACACACATATATATATATATTCCCTTCATCCTTAAAACAACTTCTCAGTTTAATTTGCACACATATTTATGTAAGATAAAGTATTCTTTTAAATTTCTAATTGTATTCCTACTTTATACCCCTACTTTATGTCAAATTTATGTCAAAACAAGTAAAGAGCAAGTGAAAAGTAGGGGTAGTTATGACATTTGCTATTAAAGAAAATCTTCTTATGGAAATGAGAAGTTTATTTTAGGAGACCCAAATAAGGAAAGTGGGATGTTGTTCCGGGGTTTAGGTAGTATATAGAAATTCGGACAAGAATACTAAAGGGACTGTTAGTGGTTGATTTTTAAAAGAGCTTTTCTGTGTTTTGCTCTTAAAAATGTAAAAATAGTTCAAAATAATTACGGAGTATAATGTTATCAAACCTGTAATTCTGCTTAAATTTACGCATTATTAAGTAAAAATATGTAAGCTCTTAAAACTGAACTTCACTTTTTATCTTAATAACACAAGAAGTGTACTCTTTATCCAACTCCAATTTCTACATTTTAGAATTAAGCACTTATAGTTTAACCTCAGTAAATGCAGCAAATGCAACACTACTTAATAAGCACACATATAGGCTAACTTGTTATTACCTCAACGATATTGCATCTGAACAAAGTTAAATTGTGGTAAACTTCATATGATATAGCAGGAGAGTATGGGAGCGAGAAATTATGATAGAAAGTATTGCAGCTGTTCTTAGAAAGAAGATTTTCAAGATCACGATCGATTAATCTGAGAAAAAGGCTCTCCTTTTCGATCACATCATACTCTTTCCCATACAAATCCAGCTTTGGGTATGGTTTAGCCGAGCAATCCAGCCTGCTCAACCCGCAATCGCCCCGTGAAGATCCTGGGAAGAAGGGGTAGCCCACCTTGCCCAGAATTCCGCAGTAGAAATCAGATTTGGGACAATCTTCATTCTGGGTTCTGTTCATTGCTTCTGTTAAGTGGGAATTCAAGAAAATATGACAGAGGAAGATCATGAAATATGTGAAGCCGAGTCTTGCTGCCATGAATGAACAAGTGGATATTACTATGTACACCATTATTGTTGAGAATGAGGGAAAAAAAAATTCAGGGGTTTTGACATTCCTAAACTCATGATCGTTGCTTGATGTATACGTTCCTTGCACTGATCTAAGGCCGCGGAAGTTGACTATGGAAATGGAAATATTGTGCTGAGACTTTGGTAAAACACTTCAGATGCAGAGACTGACGAGATAAAGCCATATAATAATTCCATAATAAAGGGACCTCAGCAGACAAAGTGGATTTCATCTCCAATCGCATGTCTAGTCATCTTTTTACGGTATATTTTAATATAACAAGTGTAGTTTAATTAACTAAAATTCAAACTAGTTTTATAGTTTAATTAACTAAAATTCCAACTACTTTTATATTTTAATCTAATAAGTGTAGTTTAATTAACTAAAATTCGAACTAGTTTTATAGTTTAAATATGAGTAGATATATGTATTTATAAGTAGATAATAACTATATAAGTAGATATAATATTTGTATAACTAATATATAATAAAATGTTCATAGTATATAATATACAAGTATACAACTATAGTATATGTATTTATAAGTAGATATTAAGTCGATAATAAATATAAGTAGACAAGGATGGATTTAGGGGGGGGGGGGGGGACGTAGGGGGGGGGGGGGATTGCTCCCTTGGACTTTAAAAATTTTCCATTATATATGTAATATTTCCATAAAATTTTTCATACTTTAATTAAATACATGTGTGTTCGTCCCCCGTAACTTTTAGTTTTCAAAATTAATATATAGCCTTACATAATGTAAAACTTAATTAGAGATTTAAAAGAAGAAACGTCTAAAATAATTTACATACTTAAGCAAATAAACAATATAATAGAACAACTCTGATCATTGTTTAAGACTTGGTGATAGAGTATATCTAGAGAGAAGTGAGAGCTAGAGAGAGAAGTGCAATAGTATGCTTCAATAGAATGAATTTGTAACCCCCATAACTACTCCCAAAGGGAGTATTTATAGAGAAAATTAGGGTTGGGCTCCCAAGCCTTGGGCTTGGGAGACCCATTTACAACTGGACCGCTACTGGGCCGAATACAAAGCCACTAATGGGCTGTACGAATGAGTAAGTGTAAAATCCGATTCTGGGAGGTCTTCTTGGCCGACGGGGGCATGGCCGACGAGGGCACGGCCGACGAGGGCACCCGGGTTCCTTGGACTCAGGACCATAATCCGAGTTGGTCCCTTTTCGGCCGACGGGGGCATCTTGGTCGACGAGGGCGCCACTCTGTTGTCTTGTGCTTTCTGTTCTTCCGAGTATGTGGGTCCGGGGGCTCAGACCCATATACTCCATCAGGAGTCCCCCACTCTCTAAGCTGAGACGTAGATGAAGTGAAGGAGAGTAGATTCCTGTGCTTTGTTGCCCTTGGCCGTTACCTGTTCCTCGTTGTGGACGGGGAGGCCGTTGTTTACTTGATGTCTTCGTTTTGGGACGATGAGTGTCCTTCTTTCAATGGTGGCCGTTGAAGGCACGTTTTGCTTGGGCGCTGATGGTTGAAGTTTGTGTTTGGGCCGACGAGGCCACTGAAGTTATTCCTTGCTTTGAGGACGATGGCGTCCTTTCCTTTGGGTGGCCGATGAGGGTGTTTGCGCACTCCTTTTGGCCGTTGCTGGTTGGCCTTCGTGTTCTTGGCCGAAGGGCCCGTCAAGATTAATTGTTGGCGGAGGACGATGAGTGTCCTTGCCTCTAGTGGCTTGTTGGCCGTCGCTAATGACGTTATGGGCCTTTGGCCGATGAAGTTCCGTTGTGCTGTATGGATGATGTGGCCATGCTTTGTGGTCACATTCACGTTCTTTGTAGTGTTTCCTTTTTGTTTTGCTGAGGCCGGTGTAGTCCCCCAGTCCCCCACTGCTTCAGGCCGAGGAGAGTGAGGGGTGAAGGAGTTGCTTGAGTCCCTGGCCGAAGCGACCTCTCCGTAGTCCCCCTGAATCCAACTCTCATGGCGATTTTCTGGCCAAGGTAACCCTGTGGGAGAACCCTTGTGCGCAGATCGCTTGTAGAGAGTTATCATCAAAGGTCATGACGAGGACCCGATGGCTTGTGGGCTCTTGGGTCCTTTGATCTTGTGGCCGTTACGTTCCTGGCCGTTGCCGTCTCCTTATTGTTTGGCAGTTGTGATCTTGGCGAGCAAGTGGGACGTTGTGGGCGCTTGCTGGCATTTGTAAAGCCGGTGAGCGTGTGTAGGCCGTAGAGTCCGTCTTGCCAGTGGGCTGTTGATATTGAGTTTGGCCCGTTGGTGACGTGGTGGTCCCCCATTGGTGGCCGTTGGTATGGCCATTGGGGGGGTGCCACGTGTAGTGACCGTTGGGTGGGGGGTTCTATAAATACCCCTCCCCCTCCGACGAGAAAACGTATTTGCATTCTAAATTTGTCGAAGTGCTGGCCGATTTTCTAGAGAGATAAACTCCCAAGCCTGTTCTTCGTGTTCTTCGTTGTTCAAGGTTAGTGTTCATCGTGATCTTCCTCACTTTTCATACTTTGCTTCCTAGGTTGTTGATCTAGTGTTAGGCGTGTGAACACCCGTAGATCTTAAGTTAGTCTCCTTAGGCCCGTAGTAGTAGTTATGAAGAGCTTGAACGAAGACTACTACCCCTACGACGACCAACCCTCCACGAGGTCGCTTGACTACGAGGTGCTCGAGGAGTTCGAAGAGGAGATAGAGCGTTTAAGTCCCTACAAATCCGGAGAGCCGGTGGACGAGGAAGGCGAGGACGAGGAGTCCGCCTCCTCTTCAAAGGGTGAGGACGTAGGTGCGTCCCGAGTGGTGGACGGGGCGTCCACTTCTGCTGTCATTCCGTGCCCGAGGCCGGTGTCTGCCGTGAAGGGAGCAGCTAAACCGAAGAGGGTGAGGAGGCCGAAGAATGGGCCGGGCCTCTCCTATCTGGACCTCACCAACATATTCCTGATCAAGCCGGAGAGCAGTGCGGCCGACTATCTTGTTGCCCAGATGTATGTGGGGCCGTTCGGGCGGGTTAGGGCACCCAGGCCGACGGACCATGTTCTACTTCCGCCACCGGGATACTTTGGAGTATACCCGATGAGTTTTGCTAAGGGGTTGAGGTTCCCCCTTCACCCTTTCATCATTGAGTACCTAAACATGGTAGGGCTTCCTCCGGCCTTGCTGACGCCGAACAACTACTCCTTGATGGTGGGGTTTTTGCTCCGGTGTGAGGAGCTGGGCTACAGGCCGACAACGGCCCTCTTCATGAATCTGTACCAGATCGGCCGAGGAAGCCACAAGAACTGTGCGGCCTATGCTACTCTTCAGCAGCTGCCGAAGAAGAGGAGCTTCACGGACTTGCCTTCGTCCATTCATGGGTGGAAGAGCAAGTTCGTTTTCGTATCCCTGGGTGAGAGTGGCACCGAGTTCCCCTCTCTCGGCCATACCGGGAGGTTCAATCTTCATGACCCGCCGAAGAGCTCTATCTTGGACGCTCAGGTGGAGGCTTTCCTGGAAGGGGGGCCGAGGAGCGTGAAGGATTACGTTACCGAATACAAGATGACCGCCCTCGGCTTCTTCAGATACCATCTGTATGGCGATAAGGAGGATGACCTTCAACTCTGGCCGAGGATGACCACCACATTTGAAGAGGCCGACGGCCCGGATTTGGGCATTCCTGCTGAGGCCGATGGTAATTATTTCTTCGGCTTTCTGTTTTTATGTTTTTGTCCTTTGCCTTACTAATCCGTTGTGTTTTTCCTTTGTAGATTTTGCCATGGACCGACGTTCCATAATGGCTATTGCCAAGGCCAAAGCGGCCGAGGAGCTGGCTGCTAAGGCGGCCGAGGCGGCCAGACGTGCCGCGGCCGGTGGGAGCGGGGCTACTGCTGATGCGGCCCCAAAGGCTGCTCCATCGAAGAAGAAAAGGCCGGCCACTGACGGCCAGAAAAAGTTAACTGAGGCCGGCCTGAGCGTCTCGAAGAAGACGAAGAGGGCTCCTTCCCCTTCTCCGGCTACTGAGGCCGGTACTCTGGCTGTCCCCAGCGTGGACGATAGTGGTCCTGTCGTGGACCTTACTGCTGCTGGCGATGCTGCTCCATCACTGCCTCTCGTCCAGGAGCCACGGACGAAGAGGGCCGACAAGGAGATTGCAGGTGCCACCTACCAGAAGATGATAGAATACCCCGTCGGCGGGGGTGTCTTCGATGACGTCATCCTTGGCCACGACGTCCTGGCACAGGCCATGCCGGCCAAGGATCGGGCTTACCTGAGGAAGCTCGGGGACGTGAATATCTATGAGGGCGGCATGGACCTCCTCGTCCAAGTAAGTTACCTTCCTTATGCGTTGTCTTTCTCGTCGTCTGTGTAAAACCATTTGCCTGACTTTTGTTTCCCTTGTTTCTGCAGAGTGCCTTCATGCTAATGGAGAGCCACAAGAGGCAATACCGAGAGGTAGCTCGCTTGAAGGAGCTGGAGCAGAAGGCCGCCTCGGCCGATGAGGCGGTAGCTTGCCTGGACCGGCTTCGGGAGGATGCCAGGGCGTTGCAGGCCAGGGCCGATGAAGCCGCCGCAGCCAGGGACGATGCCCTGGCCAAGCTCGAGGAGAGCAAAAGG